TTTTTCAAAATCTTGGGTCCTTTTGGGATTCATTCTTTCTTCCTACACTCCCACAGCTCTTCCAGGATCACCTGCTGGTGTTCCAATTCTGTCCCGCTTTCATTCACTTTAAGGTTTTGGCCTTCCCTTCTGTCTCTTTTTTTGTTTGTTTGTTTGTTTTGTTTTGTTTGTTTGAGACGGAGGGCTCACTCCTGTTGCCCAGGCTGGAGTGCAGTGGCACAGTCTTGGCTCACCGCAAACCTCCATCTCCCAGGGGTTCAAGCGGATTCTTCCTGTCTCAACTCCTGAGTAGCTGAGATCTTACTGGTCTTCATTTGCCCAGAATTTTCTTTATTTCTTTTTTTTTTCTTTTTTTGAGACAGAGTCTTGCTGTCGCCAGTTGGGAGTTGCGGAGTGGAATGATCGTTGGCTCAGTGGGCAACCTCTGCTTCCCAGGTTCAAGCGAGTTCTTGCCTTGCCTCAGTCTTCCCAGTATGCTGGGACTACAAGGCCTGTTGCACAATCGTCTGGCTACTTTTTTGTATTTTAGTAGATGATGGGGTTCTTCACCAATGTTGGCTGGGTTGGTCTTGAACTCCTGGCCTCAAATTGGATCTGGCCGTGTTCCAGCCCTCCCTTTGAGGAGTGCTGGAATTACAGGCTTGAGCTACCACACCTGACTACTTTTGTTATTTTCAGTAGAAGACAGGATTTCAACCATGTTGGCCAGGGGCTGGTCTCGAACTCCTGATCTCAAGTGATCCGCCAGCCTTGGCTCCCCACATGCTGGGATTACAGGTATTGAGGCCACTGCCACCCGGCCTCTTTTGCAGGCTCTTTATTTACTCCAGGTCCTGTCCATCTTCCCCATCCCACACTTCATGCATTCCTCCTTTCTCTTCACCTCCCTCCCTTGCCCAGCTCTAGATTCCATGGATCCTCATTTCTTAATTCATTCCTTCAAACCACCCCTCGATTCCCTTTACTCTGCTCTTTGTCTGTCATTATCTGGTCGATCGAAAAAATAGGTCCGACAACTGTGATTAAAAACTTAACTTTCCTATCTTCTGGAGAAACCTGGCATGTTGCCAGCGGGACGCAGTGGCTCCATTTGCCTGTAATCCCCCAGCACTTGTGGACGGCGAGTGGCGGATCAGCCTGCAGGGATCAGGAGTTTTCCAGGACCAAGGCCTGGCCAAAACAGGTTGAAACCGCCTGGTCTCCACTAAAAATACAAAAAAATTTAGCCGGGGGTTGGTGTTGGACACCTGGGTAATCCGCGCAGTTACTCAGCGAGGCTGAGACAGGAGAATTCTTGCACCCAGGGAAGCCAGAGATTGGTAAGTGAGCCTAGGATCCTCAGCCCAATCCTGGGGTGATAAGGATTGAGGACTCTTCTCAAAAAGAAAAAAAAAAAAGAAAGAAACTGGGCATGTGTAGGGCTGGGATAAATTTTACTTCCCCTTTTTTTTTTTTTTTTTCTTAATATGGAGTTTCCATCTTGTCACCCAGGCTGGAATGCAGTGGCATGATCTCACTCAGTGCAACCTCCGCCTCCCGGGTTCAAGTGATTCTCCTGCCTTAGCCTCCCTGTTAGCTGACATTACAGGTGCTTACCACCATGCCTGGCTAATGTTTGTATTTTCAGTAGAGATGGGGTTTCACCATGTTGGCCAGGCTGGTCTCGAACTCCTGACCTCAGGTGATCCACCCACCTGCCTTGGCTTCCCAAAGTGCTGGGATTATAGGCCTGAGCCACTGTGCCCGGCCCTGGTTTTGCTTTCTACTCATGACCTCAGAGCTCAAGGAGCTGCTCAGCATAACCTGGAAATCCCTAAGGGGCAGCTCACTGGCTTTCAACACTCTTCAGTCTCTCTCACATTCTCTCTTCTCTTTTCAAACCTGCCGAACTGTCTCCCTCATCTCACTTTTAACTGATGACTGTGCCTCAAATTTCACTGAAAAAGAGTAACGATTAAGAAGAAAATCCAGGGCTGGGTGTGGTGGCTTACTTTTGTAATCCCAGCACTTTGGGAGGCCGAAGTGGGAGGATCACTTGAGGTCAGGAGATCGAGCAAGACTGGCCAACATGGAGAAACCCAGTCTCTACTAAAAATACAAAATTAGCCAGGCATGGTGGTGGGCGCCTGTACTCCCAGCTAGTGGGGAGGCTGAGGCAGAAGAATTGCTTGAACCCAGGAGGCAGAGGTTGCAGTGAGCTGAGATCGTGCCACTGGACTCCACCCCGGATGAAAGGGTGAGACTCTATCTTAAAAAAAAAAAAAAAAAAAAAATGAATGAAATCTGTTTCATATTTTATCTCAGCTATGAAAAAATGAAAATTTTAAAGATGTGGGAGATAGGAAGATATTTAAATAGGAATACTGATATGTATGGGTATGTTTGTATTTTCATGTATAACATAAATTTCAAGATTATTATGTACTTTATTATGTGATTAGAAAGTTTCATTTGTTTTTCCTTTTCTCTAGAAAATTCTTCTTCTAGGTATTCTGAAAATTATTGAAAGTGATACTACTATGAGCCCTTCACAGTATCTAACCTTCCCTTTACTGCACACTCCAAATTTAAGCAACGGTGTTTCATCACAAAAGTATCCTGGGATTTTAAACAGTAAGGCCATGGGTTTATTGAGAAGAGCACGAGTTTCACGGAGCAAGAAAGAGGCTGATAGAGAGAGTTTTCCCCATCGGCTGCTTTCATCTTGGCACATAGCCCCAGTCCACCTGCCGCTGCTGGGGCAAAACTGCTGGCCACACCTATCAGAAGGTTTCAGTGTTTCACTGTGGTTTAATGTGGAGTGTATCCATGAAGCTGAGAGTACCGCAGAAAAAGGAAAGAACATAAAGAAAAGAAACAAATCATTAATTTTACCAGATAGCAGCTTTGATGGTACAGGTATGATGACAGGATTATCTGATTTGTACACGAAGAGTTTTCAGACTGTAATTTTCCTTGAGCAGTAAAAATGTAGTAGTGTTCTTAACACTGTTAACATGTTCTTCACCTTAAATGCCTTACTTAGTGATTGTAGGTCCTGACTTATCAAAGCCTGAGTTGTCATATAGCCTTGAATATCCGTTACAGATACTTTAGTTTTTTATAGGGGTGAAGGGGACACCACATATACAACTTTTTCTGGGGTCATCAGCCCCTAGAGTTCCTTATGGAACTTCTTTCCTGGTCCCATTACTGGATTAGGGTGGCTCCTGATGTTAGAAAAGGATAAACCCTATAGCTGCTTTTCTTTCTGTTATTTCCCAGCCTCTGTTAGACAGTCCGCATTTCATTTTCTTTCTCTTTTTTTTTGAGGCAGAGTTTCGCCCAGGCTGGAGTGCAATGGTGCGATCTTGGCTCACTGCAACCTCCGCCTCCCGGGTTCAAGCAATTCTACTGCCTCAGCCTCCCAAGTAGCTGGGATTCAGGTGCTGGCCACCATGCCTGGCTAATTTTACATTTTTAGTAAAGATGGGGTTTCACTATGTTGGCCAGGCTGGTCTCAAACTCCTGACCTCAAGTGATCTACCCGCCTCAGCCTCCCAAAGTGTTAGGGTTGCAGGTGTGAGCCACCTGCTTTTTTGTTTTTGTTTTTTTTTTTTTTTGAGGCTCATTGCAACCTCTGCCTCCCGGGTTCAAGTGATGCTCCTGCCTCAGCCTCCCAAGTAGCTGGGACTACAGGTGTGTGCCACCACGCCCGGCTAATTTTTTGTGTTTTTAGTAGAGACGGGTTTCACCGTGTTAGCCAGGATGGTCTCAGTCTGCTGACCTTGCGATCCGCCCGCCTCAGCCTCTCAAAGTGCTGGGATTACAGGCGTGAGGCACTGCACCCAGCCTGCGAACGTCCTTCTCTCTTTTTTTTTTTTTTTCCAAAAATATGGAACGCTTCACGAATTTGCGTGTCATCCAGTTCTCCTTCTCATGCCGTGTCTTACCTCAGTGACCCTCCCCTAGTTCCTGTCACAGAATGTTTAAATGCATCAGCCATTCTCCAACATTAGAATAAATTTCATTCCAGTTCCTTCTTTAACTGAAGAATTGCTATTATACTGCACCTTGTTTCTCATATGACTAGGGCAGAAAAAAACTGTTCATTGAAAAACAGTTTATGGTGATGGAAAGTGAAGTAGGTGGGATAATTCTTAGGGCCTATGGAATGAATGAAATGACTGGATGAGACAGATGTTTAGAGCTTTATATGTACATGGAGATGCAGGCCTCAATTCCACAAATCTTTCATTATTCATTATTATTAGCTCTTCATTCCACAAATCTTTCTCACCCAGTGGAACCTCTGTTTTAGGACACTATGCCTTCACTAGAATTTTCTGTTGTGGATTGGATTTTGCCACTTAAGAACTGATAGCTCTACATGTGATAATATTTATTATGATGCTATCTAATGTGTGTTGAGTGCTTTCTGTATATATGTCACTTTGCTCAGCTGTTTCTATATACATTTTTAATATTAACAAGTTAGTAAGTGCTCATACTATCTGTATTTTTAGAGGAAGTTAAGTAGCATGACCAAATTATATAGCTGGTAAGTGAGGAAAAGGAATTGAAACCCACCTGTTTTTAATTCCAGAGCCTTGACATTGCTACTATACTATAAGCTATGCAGATTGCCTTCTCATGTTTTAATGGAGGCAATCTCAATGTAAACAGTCTCTTCTAAAATGAATAAATGTACATAGTGACCTGAGAAAAGTAAATATTAGAAAGTTTTGTCTTAATTTTTTATTTTAAGGACATATTAGAAAACATATTTTAGAAAGATGATTTTGTATAAACACTTAAAAATAGTAGACATATATAAATTTTTGAAGAGAGATAAAGAATATTTTGCTGTGATACCACATCTTTTACCTCTAACTGATGCCTTTGGACAAATTAACCTCTCAGCGCCTCAATTCTGTCACCCTGTGTATATTTACCTTATAAGATGGTTGTGAGCATTAAGTTAAATATTTGTAATATTCCTACTCTATAATTCCTAGGTACACACTGGTTTTGTCCTACTCTTTTATTTGTACAAGTTCATATTTGGTATGGAACATTTTTAAAATTTCATGTCAGATATGAGTTCTCTATACATCTTATATCTTGGTCAGTAGCCTCAAAATAATCAGTTACTTTAACTCTTCTTTTTTAAAACTATTGTCATCGCTACGGGGAGTATTTTGTTTTTAACATCGGTCATGGTTTTACCTGTTGAAAAATAGCAACTAATATGTATGCAGTCTAATAAGCAGTAGTGTTCTTTAAAAATCTGAACCTTTGGACATGCATTTTGTATTATGATATAACATAGCTTTACATAAAGTCACAAGTATTATAATGACAAGTAGATCATCATACATCTTCAGGTAGTGCTGTGTTTTAAAAGATGAGAAAGAGGAGTCAAGATGAATAACCAGATAGCCCAAACCTGTAAGCATTTACCCTAGCTTGCCTTAAAGAAACACTAGAGATTCTGAATCACTTGGCAATTATATTCAAAGACCACTCACCAGGGAATATAAATTATGAATATATTCAAACACTAGAGTTTTTCCTTAAAATTTGTAATATGAAAATTTTTAAAAATCATGCCATGTGATAATTCTAGAATGATTTTTGGTAGTGTGAGACAATGACACACATTGACAGTGATGTGTGCTCCCTGGACCAGGGTCAGGGAAGTCATAGTGACCCAATCCAGCTGAAGAAAGCAGCTTGGTACACATTGTAGTAGGTTGTCACATAGCAGTCTGGTTATGCCCACAGTTGTCCTCAGTTATTATACATTTTTAAACATTTAATAACTTTTAAAGTACTGAATTACCATTTTTCATCCCTTGTGCTTTTTTGGAGTTAACATCTATACTCTGGAAATATGGTTGTTTAGAACAGATCAGGCTCAGACATTCTGGGTAGGTAACCTACTACAAATGAACAAACGTGCTTTGTATTCTTGTAAATTCACTTTTCTACTCAATTGTTATGAACCATTTTACTGATCATTTTAACATCTTTTTCTTATAGGGAGCGACAGACCGGAAGGTGCAGAGTACATAAATCCTGGTGAAAGACTCATAGAAGAAGGATGTATTCATATAATTTCACTGGGATCCAAAGCGTTGATGATCCAAGTGTGGGCTGATCCCCACAATGCCAGTTTTATCTTTCGGTATTGATTATCCTCAGCCTCCCATGAATAGATAATGTATTTAAATAATTTATGTAAGAGACATTAATGTGAAATATGCTAATAAAATTTCATTATAGCGAAACAAAAAGTCTCATTTAAAAATATATACATTCTAACAGCTATTAATATCACTTTTGTAATAGTGTATTATTCTATCCAAAAATCTATAAAGTCTAAACTATATTAATTCTCGGCTGGGCGTGGTGTCACACCTGTAATCCCAGCACTTCGGGAAGCCAAGGCAGGCATATCACCTGAGGTCAGGAGTTTGAGACCAGCCTGGCCAACATAGTGAAACCCGATCTCTACAAAACAAACAAACAAAAACCGCAAAAATTAGCCAGGCATGATGGTGCATGCCTGTAGTCCCAGCTGCTCGGGAGGCTGAAGCAGGAGAATCGCTTGAACCCGGGAGGCAGAGCCCAGATCGCATGCCACTGCGCTCCGGTCTGGGTGACAGAGTGAGACTGTCTCAAAAAATAAAAGTAAAAATAAAAAAATAAATAAAATACAATAATTCTCTGTTAGATTTTAGATCAAATACTTATTGAAGTCTTATTCTATGGAAATATTCTATCAGATTGTAATGGTCTTAAGGTGTTATTAACAAACATGTTTTCCATGTGGGTTATATATTTAATAGGCATTACCTGATAAGCTTGGGTTCTCCTTGTTATCTTGTCTTTTTATAATGTCTCATTTATTAAGTGGTATAGATACAGGTCTTTTATTTGTATTGAGTATGAATAGTATGATACTATTTGTCTAAAACTCAAATCTAAACAAACCAGTATGTTATTTAGGAATACCTACCTTGTAAACGTTACAAACATTACTAGATGCCTTATGTACGTTATCTCCTCATTCTTTTAGTAATTCCTCAAAGTAGATTAGACCTCCAATACAGTCTGGTATTTAGACATTTATATTAATTTTTCTATGAACCAAATAATACATTGTAATTTCTAAATGAGCGATGACTATATAAATAGTAATAATATATATTTTTTACAAACTGAATTCTGAAAATTATTGCCTAAATTATGACTACCAGCCAATGAGCCTAATCTATTTCAGTTCATGAATTAAGGTAATAATAGAATAACTAAGTAGCTTATGGTATAAAACGAAGACCTACTGACTTTTCAAGCACTTTAAAAAAAATAGAACTGATTTTTAATCTTACTTAAATATTTAGAATTATAGTTACTATATATGTGTTAAATACTGAGGTCAGAATTTTTATGTTTTCAGCCTATGCCTTTTCTCTTTTTTTATAGTGTGTGCATGGATTCAAATGATGACGTGAAAGCTGTTTTACTAGCACAGGTTGAATCACAGGAGAATATTTTCCTCCCAAGCAAATGGCAACATTTAGTACTCACCTACTTACAGCAGCCCCAAGGGAAAAAGAAGATTCATGGGAAAATCTCCATATGGGTCTCTGGACAGAGGTAGGAAGCATTTTGAGGAAATGCATGTCAATCTCAGTTACAATGTTATGTTTCATTAGTCTATTATAACTTCTGAAACAGATTACAGAAAATTCTAGGTTTTTACTACAATAAAATTTACTATACTTTAACTTACAAATCTGTCAGAGTTGGACTTTTTTTTCCTATTGGTCATTTTCATGCAGAATAAGCCTTCTGTAGAAATGACTGTTGAAAATTAATATTTGGGTTTGGGGAGCATGCAGATACCTAGAAATTTAGACATTTATGTATAACTATATATGAAAGAACAGAATCTATAATTTCATCCCGCAAGTCCATATATTGTAAAACTGAAGCCATGATAATTATTTAAATTAAGTGGCTAATAAGGTTAATACCTAAATTAAATTAGACTTTCAAAAGAAATTAGAATGACTAGTCTATGTATAAGGTGATAGATTCAGATAGAGTGCTAGAAATATAGCAAGTGATAGATTCAGGGAGAGTACTGTATGATTTTTACCACATAGGAGAATTGTGAGCCAAGTTAATAAGAAACGTCTTGTGAAATATCGTAATGTAAAATTTTAGCCTGTAGGAATTATAAGGTATCTTTGATTTGTAAGCATTGGGAAGTATTGTATTGAATGAAGTAGCATGAAAGAAGATGAGAATTTGAAACTGTAATGTGGCACGGTAGAGGATTAAGCTGGTTGGATGAGTTTAAGTTGAATAATGAGAAATACAAAAGAATGGGCATGGTGAGACTACTTAACAGGCTTTGAATGCCAAGCTGAGAGGTCTAGATTTAATCAAAGGGAACATAATATATTGCATACTTATTATGTTGCAGATCTTTTGCTGGATGCTTTATATACATGATCTAATTCTCTCAAAAATCCCTCAAAGTAGATTAGACCATGGAAATAACATATACCCTTAACACAGATTAACCTATTTTTATTCATTCATTTGTTCATTCATCACATTTATTGAAGAATCACAGTGTTTTGAGCACTTGATGTATTAATAAGGCCTGGGGGACAGTGGTAAACAAGATGGACACATTCCCTGCCTTCCTGGAGTCACAGTCTGGTGAGGAATCAGACAACAAGCAAACACAATTAAATGAATATTTGCAAATGATGACAAATACTGTGAGATCCATGCTTTAAAACCCTGAGACAGAAAATATCAAGTTTGACACTAATGATGGATGGATCAGGGAAGGCCTATCTAAGAACAGGGCATTAAAGCTGAGACCTGAAAGAGGAGATGGAACTTGCCCTGTGCAGGTGAGAGGAGGACAGTTTGAAGTGGAGGACTGGGCATCGCTGCAGGAGGCTGCAGCAATTGATTGCTTATAGCCGTCCAGCCTCAATAATAGAGGGAGACAGGGAACAGGGGCTTGTGAATTGCTTTACAGTCCATGGTGTCTGCCACAAGCAAGAACATGCTTTGGAAATAAGAGTTCAGTTTTGTTGTATTCATTTTAAAAAATTGTAAAGATACGTAATTGAAGCCTAATTTCCATGTTCCATATTCCAAATAAAATACAGTCTGTGACAGTCTCGATCTTCACACCTGCCGTGGCAGCTGTAGCCAATCAGCAAATTTGTTTCCAGAACCTATAGTTAAATCAGATAGAGCTGGGGCTGGAGTTGTAAGTAGAGAGCCCCTGTCTCCTCCTAGACACTCTCCTCTCCATTTCTTGAGCTTTCAGCATGTGCCAGGCACTGCATTAGACACTTTATACAGATTACCTAATTTAATCCTCTCAGCAATACTATGAAGTAGGTATATTATTATCCAAATTTTACAGATGAGGCAACTGAGACCTTGAGTGACTTGCCCAAACTCTTGCCACAAGTAAGGGGTAGAGCTGAAAGTTTAACCTAAACTCTGACCCTAAGGAGGGCCCATGTTTTAAAACCCTATCCTTTACTGCCCCTGCAGCCTTTTTCTGAATTATGTCAACTGACAGGTATAGGAACCATAAACTATTAGACATGTTCAGAATGAGAAATTAGATTTTTATTGTGGACAGTCTGAAATTAGTAAACATAGTCACTTGATTCACACATCACTCTGTTTTTTTACCCACCCACTTAGGTCTACATTCCTTTGAGAGAATTGTTTGCCATTTGGCACAAGTTAATTTCATTGGTTAACAGAGCAAGTGACCAAGAACAAATATTTTATTCTGTTGACTTAAACTTGGTGCTATAATATCTTCATCACCTTATAAGCTATAGAATAATTTCTAGGCCAGGCATGGTGCTTCATGCCTGTAATCCCAGCACTTTGAGAGGCCGAGGCAGAAGGATTGCTTGAGCCCGGGAATTGAAGAACAACCTGGGCAACATGGAAAAACCCTGTCCCTACTAAAAATAAAAAATTAGCTGGGCATGGTGATGCGTACCTGTATAGTCCCAGCTACTCGGGAGGCTGTGGCAGGAGAATCACCTGAGCCCATTAAGTCAAGGCTACAGTGAGCCATGATTGGACCCTTGCACTTCAGCCTGGGTGACAGAGCGAGACCCTGTCTCAATTAAAAAAAAAAAAAAAAAAGAATTTCTAAAAGAGTACATTTGAAAAGGCCTTTTAAAATAAGGTAACAATACTGAAAATGAGTTAATACTTTCTTAGTTGTTATTAACAGCTTACAAATATGGCAGAAATATTTGGCACATAGTAGATACTTAATATTTGTTTAATTCATTTTGCATTCATCCTGCAGTAGGTTTTCTTTCACCCTTAAAAACACCATTTTATTTTTATTTTATTATATTATATTTTCATTTTACTTTAGTTCTGGGATACATGTCAGAACATGCAGGTTTGTTACATAGGTATACATGTGCCATAGTGGTTTGCTGCACCTATCAACCCATCATCTAGGTTTTAAGCCCCACATGCATTAGGTATTTGTCCTGATGCTCTTCCTCCTCTTGCCCGACACCTGCTGACAGGCGCTGGTGTGTGATGTTCCCCTCCCTGTGTCCATGTGTTCTCATTGAAACACTCTTGTTTTTTAAAATAAAAAATTTAAAACTATATTAAGTCATAATGCCACTAGATGGCGATAGAGGAGTTTCAGTCACAGCCATTTATTTGGTCAAGGAGAAGTATGTCATTGAACGTATCTCACATCTTTCCTTTATTTAAAAAAAAAAACAAAACAAAACATTAAAATAGTTAAGTTTATCTGTTATATGTGAAACAGAGAGTCTTAGGCAAAACTTTTAAAATAAATATATACAAAGTTGGATTTCTCATTAAGAGCTACCCATGTTAGCTTATCCTGTCTTCATCTTACAAATTTTATTTAGACTTTGCCTTTATAGATTACCCTTATTATCTTAAAATGGAGTTTAAAACATTCCTAAACTAGGGGTAGAGCTCTGTGGTTTCACTAGTTGATGAAGTCCTCCCTGCTTTGTGTGTCTTTCTGTGAGAAAGCTTTATTTTGCCTTTGCCAGAACTCTGTTTTTTGTAAGCATTCCTTCACTGTTATCCATGAAGCAAAAGAGACTAATCAAAAGCTGCGTAATCACTTAGCATTAAGAAAACAGAAAATGCAGAAAGCATTGACATTTCAGTGGCTAGACAGAAGAAATTTTGAAGAAGTTATGTTTTTACTGATTAGTTTTCAGAGGCCTCATAGATGACATAACATTTTTGGAATGTCATGGATTCCAATTTTTGGAATTGTTTGTCAAGATGGGAGACTTCTTGGCAAAATTAAGGGGAGGTGGTTGGTTTGTATCTGTAAACCGGGAAGGTGCATATGTGGAAGTCAAATGGCAGAGAAAACTTGCAGCAAATGTCTCATCACATTTCCCATGGCCTGCTGTGGGATCATCAGGTATCTCTGTTTGGCTCCCCTCTTTCTGCAGTACCTTTGACCAAGAGACAAACAATTAGCCCTCCTCTTGTGCCCCAGTGCCAGCTGGTAATGACCCAAGAAAATTGTTGAAGAATTCTCCATTGTTAAATATTCATGCTTTAAAAATACTTAGTACTAGTACTTCCTAAAGTCGTTGCTTTAACTTTGTTTTTAATGTAGGAAGCCTGATGTTACTTTGGATTTTATGCTTCCAAGAAAAACAAGTTTGTCATCTGATAGCAATAAAACATTTTGCATGATTGGCCATTGTTTATCATCCCAAGAAGAGTTTTTGCAGTTAGCTGGAAAATGGGACCTGGGAAATTTGCTTCTCTTCAATGGTGAGTGAGCCATGATTGCACAACTGCACTTCAACCTGGGCGATAGAGTGAGATTTTTTCCTTTGAAACATTTCCAGTTTTTTTTCTCAGTTAACAAGTATTAAACTAAGTAAATTAACCTGGCTAAAATATGTATCTCTGTTCCTTTACTTGTGTTTAATAAGTACTGTATTTCCAAGACTCTAAGATATACTTTTAAAATATTTTAACATTTTTGTAATCTAGTTGTGTGTTACAATTGATACATACATTTAATATAAAAATGTATTTCCTCCATCCTCAAAAAAGAAAATCTCATATTAAATTAGTGTTTTTTTATACTGGATAATGTAGTATCGTGACTAGTAAATTTATCTTGGTTGTCTCCTTTATAATTTTATTATTTCTTATACAAATATCAAATTTTAGGGAAAAATGAGATATATGATTTTTAAAAATATGTCCTTAAACCTGATACATAATAGCATTCAGACAGTGTTTATTGACTAAATAGGAAGGAATAAAGATATTGATTCAAATTTTAGTTAGAAATGGAATTTACCAAGATACAGCTTCCATTATTTAAAAAAAAAAAAAAGGAAAATAGAAAACCTGTTTTCTGGCTAAGGAGTAAATAAAAATATTATGATTTAATTAAAAGCTTCACGATTAACTTTATATACATTAATTCATCTTCCATCATAGTTGGCATAGGTTATTTTCTCATTACACCAATTTGGAAATTGAGGCTTTATCAATTTCATAAAATATAGTGAACAGCTGAAAGAATCTGGCTAAAAAAATAACTCCTGGTTTCTTGCTTTTTATGAAAAATTCTGGTTAGAGTGTTTTAAATAACTAACTTTATTTTTCTGCTATTCAGGAGCTAAGGTTGGTTCACAAGAGGCCTTTTATCTGTATGCTTGTGGGCCCAACCATACATCTGTAATGCCATGTAAGTATGGCAAGCCAGTGAATGACTACTCCAAATATATTAATAAAGAAATTTTGCGATGTGAACAAATCAGAGAACTTTTTATGACCAAGAAAGATGTGGATATTGGTCTCTTAATTGTAAGTTTTAATTTTATAAGTTTTAATTTTATAGTAACAACTGTATTTAGGTGTATTTATTGAAATGTATAGTTATGAATTAGATTTCTAAAGATTTTCATGTGGTTCCTTAACATTTTCTTATCTTAGAATTATGTTTTTTTCTGAAAAAAGTTGAAACACTTTGACCTTCTTTCAAAATTTGTTTCAGGTTTTATATTCATGTCTCCATGTCCTTGAAATTATATTTCCATAAAAAGTTTATCAGTTTAGTTTATTTTATACCTACCAATTATTCAGGAAAAATGTTTATGATACAGTGAAAATAACACTTGTTAGTTTGACATACTCCTAAAAAATGTTGCTCTTTATATTTTCTTTCCATACTTATAAATAAATAATATCCATTTATAATGTTAGTTTTAGTTACGTATATTCAGGTCTTAGAAAATCTACCCTTTTTTATTTTCTATTTTTTTTTTTTTTTTTTAAGAGACAGGATTTCATTCTGTCACCCAGGCTTGGGTGTAGTGGTGTGATCATAGCTCACTGCAGCCTTGAACTCCTGGGCTCAAATGATCCTCCCACCTCAGCCTCCCAGGTGGCCGGGTCTACAGTCAGGCACCACCACACCAGGCTAATTTTAAATTTTTGTAGAGATGGAATCTCGCTATGTTGCCCAGACGGATCTCAAACTCCTGGCCTCAAGCGATCCTCCCATCTCAACCCCTCAAATGGTGAGATTACAGGCATGAGACACCATGCCTGGACTAAAAAACGTATTGTTTAATATCAGTACAAATAGGAATTTTGCTTTCAAAGTATTGCTAATTCTGCTTACATGAGACTCTATTGATTTTTATATATTATTCCAATATTTTGTTCTACTGGTATACAATTTAGGAGCTAGTGGTGAAGTTTTTCATTATAGCAACTAGAAAACTGAGCCTTCATAGTCTTAGAAAATCTACTAAAATCTGGTAGATCTGGCCATGAAACTGGGTTCCTCTTTCTCTTGCTTCTTGTGAGAAGTACAGATATTTCCTACTTGAAGGAGACTACTGTTTTGGAATGTATTTTGTTGTTGTTGTTGTTGAGTTGTGGGGAGGGTAAATGTGGTTGTCAGTAATTATTGGGTAGTAAGGGACAGGGATGCTAAATGTTCTACAGTACATGAACACTATTATACAACAAAGAATGATCCTATCCTAAATGTCTCACCATTAAGAAAACATCCTTTAGGGAAATGGTTCCTCAAACCTGAATGTGCACCAGAATCATCCAGAGGGCTTGTTAAAATATAGATTGCTGGTCCAGAGCTTCTGATGTAGTAGGTCTGAAGTGTGACCCTGGAATTTACATTTTTAATAAGTTCCTAGGTGATGCTGATGCTGGTTGAGGATCACACTTTGAGAACCTCTGCCTTAGGGAGATTGAGGACCTCACACAGATGTTTGTTCAAGTAGTAACTTTAACTCAGTAGTTTTCAGTTAATGCATTAGTTTTCATAAAAAAATTTCCCTAATCCTTTTATTTTTCCTGAACAGTATATAGGTCATATAAGTGACAAAACTCAACATAAATTATCATGAATGAAAATTCTGAGGGTTTTATGTGAAAACTATTTTTAGAGAGCAAATTCTTTAAGCCCGATTTAGTAATTTGGGAGTTATAAATTTGTGAAAGAATGGTCAGGGAGAGGGGGTACCCTCGGCCGGGCTCAGTGGCTCACGCCTGTAATCCCAGCACTTTGGGAGGCCGAGGCAGGCGGATCACCTCGGGTCAGGAGTTTGAGACCAGTCTGGCCAACATGGTGAAACCCTGTCTCTACTAAAAATACAAAAACTAGCCGGGCATGGTGGCAGGCACCTGTAATCCCAGCTACTCAGGAGGCCGAGGCAGGAGAATCACTTGAACCTAGGAGGCGGAGATTGCAGTGAGCCGAGAATGCACCATTGCACTCCAGCCTGGGCAACAAGAGTGAAACTCCGTCTCAAAAAAAGAAAGAAAGAAAGAAAAAGAAATGGTACCCTCATGTCAGGGTGTGGTGTCAGATTTCTGATTGAAACTACTGTAGGTTTGAAACTTTGCTTTTCCAGCATAATCATACACAACAGAGAGTATAATTGGTTTAGCTGGTGCACAGATACACTGGATGGCACGTCTGATTGCTGTGGGTCATAAATAAACCTCAGGCCAGGCACGGTGGCTCCTGTTTGTAATCCCAGCACTTTGGGAGGCTGAGGCAAGCAGATCCCGAGGTCAGAAGTTCAAGACCAGCCAGTTTGAGACCAGTCTGGCCAACATGGTGAAACCCTGTCTCCACTAAAAATAAAAAATTAGCTGGGTGTGGTGGCATGCACCTGTAATCCCAGCTACTCAGGAGGCTGAAGCAGGAGAATTGCTTGAACCCAGGAGGCAGAGGCTGCGGTGAGCTGAGATCATGCAACTGTACTCCAGCCTGGGCAACAGAGCAAGACTCCATCTTGGAAAGAAAGAGAGAGAGAGAGAGAGAGAGAGAGAGAGAGAGAAAGGCCCCCATCCAGTTCTGAGAGAAGACACTGAATCTATATGATTTCCTGAGCCTGAGTTTGGCATCCACTACCACTAAAACCACCTTAAAGTACACTATGGGCCAGACACCAAGGTTCATACCTATAATCTCATACCTATAATCCCAGCACTCTGGGAGGCACAGGCAGGAGGATCACTTTAGGCCAAGGGTTTGAGACTAGCCTGCAACATAACAAGACCATGTCTCTACCAAAAAAAAAAAAAATTGGTGTGGTGGCAGGTGCCTGTAGTCCTGGCTGCTTGGGAGACTGAGGTGGGAGGAGCCCTTGAGCCTAGGAGTTCAAGGCTACAGTGAGCTATGGTCATGCCACTGCACTCCAGCCTGGATGCCAGAGCGAGACCCTGTCTCTAAGAAAAACATACATTCTGCATTTAAAATTAACTTTAATTTTTAAAATAGTTTAGAGAGTCTTGACAGGGAGCCACACACTGATGGAAACTATCCTTTGCCTGGGAGAAATATTTGAAGTTCTATTTTATTTTAGTTCGGTGTGCTGACCGTTGACAATCCGAAATTTTATTCCAGTAGAAAGAAAGATCTAGTTTAGAGCTGCTTTTAAATAAATAGTCAGCCCATGAGCAAATGCAGAGCAAAAATTTCAGAAAAGTTGACCTGACCCTGAGTTCCCAGTATTTTTAAGTGCTTAGAATAGTGCCTGGTATGTAGTAAGTGTGGTTTAAGACTTAGTTGATATTAGTAGTAATAGTATAATTTAATATTTATTCTAAACCAAACAAAGCTGGAATCCTTCTCAACCTTGGTGTGATCTATACAATTGATCACTGCTAAATAAATCACTGATCATTTGCTTTGTGGGAAGCAGCCTTGCTTCTAATGTTTATCTTTGTTTAGTGTAGTAGCTGTTGTTTTTTAAACAAAGAAAAGGATCAGTTGAGTGTGTTTTCACTTTGAAATACTTACTTGCTAGTTGATAGCTTGCATTTTAAACTTTGTGTCATTACTGAATGAAAATATTTGTGTTTCAGGAAAGTCTTTCAGTTGTTTATACAACTTACTGTCCTGCTCAGTACACCATCTATGAGCCAGTGATTAGACTTAAAGGTCAAATGAAAACCCAACTCTCTCAAAGACCCTTCAGCTCAAAAGAAGTTCAGAGCATCTTATTAGAACCTCATCATCTAAAGAATCTCCAACCTACTGAATATAAAACCATTCAAGGCATTCTGCACGAAATTGGTGGAACTGGTGTATTTGTTTTTCTCTTTGCTAGGGTAAGAATCACTGGTTATAGTTTTGTCTAAAGAGAAATGACTTATTTATTATTGATAAAGGATTTCTTTTGGACCACACGAAAAAGCTACACTCAACTATATTAAACTTTTAAGATAAAAAATTACATATTAAATATGTTATTAAGCTTTCAGCCATAGATGATTCAGGTTTCTTCTAATTTATGAATATTTTAGAAGTTTTCTATTGACCAAAAATGCAATTAGTACAATTAAATGTTAAATGTACAAGATTTTAATTTGAAAGGAGGATACTTTTAAAAATAAAATTTATGAAGCTTTTATTCCTTAAATGTTTCCAATGCATAGGAAAAAACTAAGGGTCAGCAAGTATGTTTTTTTAAAAAAAAACAACAAAACTTTAATTTGTTTGGGTTTGGAGTTTTTTCAAAAAGGAGAAATACAAAGTTTGCCTCAGGCCATACGTACCATTTTAGAATAAATCATTTAATTATCTGTCCTGATACAGAGTAGACAGTAATTATAGACTATTTCAGGGATTGCTGAAACCTATATTAGGGAGCACAAATAGTCTCACTTTGGTAAAAATCATTTCTACTTTCTCTGGGTCCACATCCCTGTTTAATTAAAGCAGCTTTGATCTTCCTTCATCCTCGGAATGCCATCTTCATTTTATCCCGAAGTATAACTTCTGCAACATTATCAGGTTTTCATAGTCTCCCTATCTAGCTTTCTTTAATGGAAGCATCTTTGATTAATTTTGCAATAAGAAGCATATGAGCATTTGTTGTTGTTAGGGTTCTTACAAATATTTTGTTAGCATTTGATCCCCCATTCTCTGTAATCTGTCTTTTCTTCTTCACCTCTTCTTTTTTCATATTTTTTAAATCTACTGTCTAGTTGAATAGATTCTCTCCTAGTGTTTTAAAATCAAAAGCCCTTTGACTCCTCACCAATATTTTGTGATCTTTTGTACCACTGTATAGTTTCAAAATGTATATCCTTGTTTTCTTCTCTTTCATCAAGGTATTGAATATAATTTTGTTAGTTACATAAAGATTGGATCTTAGATAAAATGTTGACATTTTTATCTTTATATGTTTAGTATCTTGCCAGTAAGACTTTTAAAGTATGTTTCTAAGTCTAAAACTTAGAAACCTTGTTCAGTATCCTTCCTCCTCCCCTACAAAAATAAAATTCAGTGTCCTTAAAATCCTTACATGCATAACCTGCCTTGTGAGCCTGGTCTCTACAATCCAGCCAAAGAGGCAACCTGCAGCTTCCTAGATGTACTCTGAACTTCTAATTTAGGCCTTCACCCTTCCCCTGGCTGTGCCCTGCCCCCAGCCACCCCTTTATTCCTGCTTCCAGGATTTGGCTCTCTTCCTTGGCCATCTTATCTCTGTGTAGCCTTCCCCTAAACCAAGCAGAGAGGGGTCAGAATGGTTTCTGTGCTCTCCTGGCATACCTATTGTCTTATTCTTCTTTGGCCTTTAGCGTGATAATAAGTATGTGTTTCTTATGTATATAGTAGTTGTCAGAAAGTGTTGGTTGAAGTAAATTGAAGTACAAGGCACAACATGTGGTTTTTAGCCTCTTATCTCTTTGACAGAAAAGTAGACCCCATTAGGAACAAGTATCATGTATTTTACTTCTTTTTGTCTCCCTTACCACATAATGCAGAGCCTGTTTGTCTGTTGACTAATTTATCAAAAACTTATGACACTTCAGATCACTAGTTATAAAATGCTACTGACCGCTAAGGTTGTTCATGTCATTGTATGCTATAGCATATGGAAGAGACTATAGAACATGGAATGTATGCCTTACTCTCAGTTTTGTTTATTCACAATCCTTAAATAGGTAGAGTATGAGCATTAAAAAAATACTTTGTAGAAACTGCTGGATTGATGTTACATAGTGGAAGATTATAAACATTACATTTTTACTCTCAGCAAATTGGGAGAAAACTATATCCACCCATTTTTTTTTAGGTCATTGAACTCAGTAGCTGTGAAGAAACTCAAGCATTAGCACTGCGAGTTATACTCTCATTAATTAAATACAACCAACAAAGAGTACATGAATTAGAAAATTGTAATGGACTTTCGATGATTCATCAGGTGTTGATGAAACAAAAATGCATTGTTGGGTTTTACATTTTGAAGGTATGTCTTCATAAAATTTATTTTTATAGTTTCATATGCAATGATACTCATCTCATCATCAAAGTCTTCCAATAATAGTTTTGTGTTTCAGTTATTCCTGAAGAAAATGGAGGAAACTTATTAGTGTATAGTTAATAAAACTAAGGTATTCTTCTAGTTCTTTTCATCATTTAAATAATTACATTTTTCTTTTCTTTAAAGCATTTTTTAAAAGTAAGAAAAAATAAACTCATTGAATTTTAGATCTGGGTGGGCCATAGATATCTCCCATGCTGTCCCCTCATTCCATAGACTGATAAGATCTTTGCTTTAGCCCCCACCATTATGGCAGAGAACCCAGTTCTCTAGACACCTAGAGGCATACCATTCCATTAGGCACTGCTGCTACAAGTTAGTTTTTAAAGTCACAGATATTCGTGCTCATTTTTATTATCCCGCTATCATCATATATTTAAATACTTTTCTAGATAAAAGCATTTGGTAACATTGTGAAAATATTTCTCTCTGAGATTTCTAGTACTAAGGCAAAAGATGATTACTCTACCCTTTCCCCCACCCCACCTCTTTAAACTGCAAGATCCATACATTTGTGGCATGAATCCTTACTACTTTTTTGAAAAGGTTTTAAAGCCTAATAGAAGATTAATTCAATTTAAAACATAAAAAATGAGTGCTGTTTGTTTTACTCCATGTTTGAACCTGAATACTCACTTAAAAATATTTGTAAGTTTGGAATTTTCTATTTATCTGAATTGTTTTACAAAACAAGTTAAAGATATTTTGTGAAGTGAATTATTTACTAGCTTTCCTTTGAATTTAATGATTGCTAAAATTGAAAGCTTAATGTTTCTGTTGAACTTTTTGATTAACCAATTACTAATGCATCTTATATTAATGCTAATTTTCTATAGACCCTTCTCGAAGGATGCTGTGGTGAAGATATTATTTATATGAATGAGAATGGCGAGTTTAAGTTGGATGTAGACTCTAATGCTATAATCCAAGATGTTAAGCTGTTAGAGGAACTGTTGCTTGACTGGAAGATATGGAATAAAGCAGAGGCATGTAATATGTACTTTTTCTATTTTTTATTGTGATAACATGCATATAACACAAAATTTACCATCTTAAGCATTTTTAAGTTTCGGTTCGGTGGCATTAAGTGCATTTACAGTGTTGTCCAACCATCACCACCATCCATCTCTGTAAATCTTTTTTGTTTTGTAAAACCAAAACTTTGTACCCTTTAAACAGTAATTCCCTGTTCCCCCTCTTCCTCTAGCCCCTGGAAACCACCATTCTGCTTTTGACTAAGGATCTCATATAAGTAGGATCATATAGTATTTGTCTTTTTGTGATTAGCTTATTTCACTCAGCATAATGTCTTCACGGCTCATCTGTGTTGTAGCATATGTCCAAATTTCCTTTTTAAGAATGAATAATATTCCATTCTAGATATTTACCACATTTTGCTCATCCATTCATCAGTTTAGAGATACTTAGATTGTTTCCACATTTTACCTACTGTGAATAGAAGCGTGTACTCGTTTTTTTGTTTGTTTTTGTTTTTGTTTGAAATGGAGTGTTACTCTTTCGCCCAGGCTGGAGTGCAGTGGCGTGATCTTGGCTCACTGCAACCTCCACCCCCAGGCTCAGATGATACTCCTACCTTAGCCTCCCAAGTAGCTGGGACCACAGATGTGTGCCACCATGCCTGGCTAAGTTTTTGTATTTTGGATATAGACAGGGTTTCACACATGTTGCTCAGGCTGGTCTTGAACTCCTGAGCTCAGGTGATCTGCCTGCCTTGGCTTCCCAAAATGCTGGGATTACACACATAAGCCACCACCCCCAGCCAGCATATTCTTTTAAATATTTATCTAATCATGATTCTGAAGGAAATAATTAATTACTTCAATGTAATGTTAATTATAAATGGAAATCTGGCACTTATTTTCCATGCAAAGTTTTGAACAGCCATGGGGAACGCTGAGCTGGAGAGTCAAAATCAAACTTGGGCTGGCTAAGAATACTGCAGTCAGGCAGGAGCATATGGGCTTATTTGGATTAGTCGAAGGCTTGCATTTACCATAAACTCTGAAAGGGGAGCCTGCTAAGAGTCAGGGGAGTCAGGTCCAGGAGAGGGAAATGGATACACTTCTAACTAGGGGAGCCACACTGGCCAGGAGTTAGAGATAAGACCATGGTATATAGGGGAAGGCTTCATCATAAGTATAAAGTAAGCAACATAGATTGATCTTAGATGTAGACACTACATCTCAGCACCTAGAATGGCTGGTCTGGTCTTCACAAGGACCCAGTCAGGGAATGAGTATAGGGTTGTTTCCTTTCTGCCCCAGTTTTAAGCAGTCGTAATGGTATAGGCTCATACAGCCTTCTTAGTTCTAGTGTAGACTGTTTGCTCTAAGTGTGGCAGGGTTCTAGTAGGTATTGGTGATTTTTGCAAGAAAAAGAAAACTAGATTGTCTAGAACTAATTAGAATATAACAAGATTATCATCAAATATTATTATGGAGCAATTCAGAATATATATACCTTTAGATTTTTTTTTTTTTTTTTTGAGACGGAGTCTTGCTCTGTCGCCCAGGCTGGAGCGCAGTGACCGGATCTCGGCTCACTGCAAGCTCCGCCTCCCGGGTTTACGCCATTCTCCTGCCTCAGCCTCCGGAGTAGCTGGGACTTAAAAAATGGTTTTTCCCAACTTGCCAACAGTCCCTAAAAATTTACACATTACCAGTAATGAGTTGTGAGGTTGAAAAAAGACTCCTTTTTTTTTTTTGGAAACAGGATCTCACTCTGTCACCCAGGCTAAAGTGCAGTGGCGCCGTCTTGGCTCATTGCAACCTCTGCCTCTCAGGCTCAAGCAGTCCTCCTACCTCAGCCTCCCAAGTAGCTAGGACTACATGTGTGCACCACCATGCCTGGCTAATTTTTATTTATTTATTTATTTTTTTTTTTTGTAGAGATGAAGTCTCACTATATTGCCCAGGCTGGTCTCAAACTCCTGGGCTCAAGCAATCCTCCTGCCTTGGCCTTCCAAAGTGCTGGGATACAGGCGTGAGCCCCCACACCTGGCAAAAGGAAAAAAAAAAAAAAAAAAAAACCCTTTTTTAATCTATTAGTAATAAAAATAAATTTAGTTCAGATATGCTAGAGGAAAGAGAATTTTCTATTCTTCCTATAGAAAATTATATTACAAAATTGTTATATGAAGAGGCAATTAAAGAGTATGCAGCCACAAAACAGAGAAAAGTATTTTGAAAGGCATGTCCAACAGCCAACTATTACCATGTTCCTGGATTTTGTGATATTCATGGTACTTTTCAGTTTTTAAACTTTGTGATTTGTTGTGATTCCTTTTCTCACTCTGAATAAATATTTACTTTCAGATCTAAAAAAACAAAAGATAGATAAGATAGATAGATTAAAATATGTGTAATATTGCAGGGAGAAAGCAAATAATTATGGGGGTAGCATATGTAAACAAATTGGATCAAAAGCAATATAAATGTGTAATAAAGAATATGCTCAGTTGCAAGTTGGAAAATCTAACTTGGACAAAGTTGGACCAAGTGGTTCAAAGAGCAGGCAAATGTGGGATTGTTTGATTTTAAAAGAAACATTTTTAAATTGAATTTGAAAGTGATAAGACACATATTACTTCTATGGATTTGAAATAAGGTTTTCTTATGTAATTAATTATTTTTGAACTAAGTCTGGTTTTTCTTTTTTTGTTGTTGCTATTTGTTTACGTTGGCACTATTTTATCTTGGTACTACTTTTCAGATTGAATCATGTTTTCATACTTTGGCTGCCTTGTCTTCTGGTTTTCATGTGGCTTTTTCTTTTAGAACATCTTGGCTCTATCTTAGAAAGAGAGAGACCCTGGGTAGAAGAGTATGATTAAGTCTATCAATATCTTGGTTCATTCTTGCCAGATAGTGGCAGGAGGAATAGTAGGCTCTGCAACCCAAGCCAGTTAATTTTGCTTTTTGTTAAAAGGTTTATTGAAAGGTCACTTAGGATGATAAGATGAAGGGAAGGTTATCTTTCAATATTAGTTATCAGTATAAGATCTCTTTTTTTCTCTAGTATTATGGACAAGTTAAGATTGATTCAATATGGGAGAAGCATTTTAAGGCACTGTCAAAGGATGCTAACTACTCTTTGAAGTGCATAGTTTGTAATCATGCAGAGAATTCTATTATTTGAACTTGAAAGTAAATTTAAAATGCAGAATTTTCACATTGTCGATGACTTTTTGATTTAGTATGATTTGCTCTAAAATTATTTGGTTAAATGCTGCATATGCAGATTGGTATTGAAATGTATGCATTTTTAACAACACTCTTTGAACATAAATTATTTAAAAACAATAACATTGGTAATGGGTGTGCTTCTCTAATTTGAACAATCCCTCTTGATAATTCATCTTTTGAAAATACATTTAATGCCACAGAAAGGGTAATGTAGGAAAGCACCTAATACAATATTGCATTCAACATGGCTATTTAGAAATAGCTTATTGGCAACAAAAAATAATAGGGAATAAATTTTGACATTGGCTTTTTGCAGACATGTAGTCTTTGATACTGAATATATATACAATGTTAAATTGTTGCACGTTGTGTGTCTTCCAAAAAGCATGCTGCATATTTTTCAGTACATATGTGCTTACTGGTGTGTGTTTGTCTCCTCAGCAAGGTGTTTGGGAAACTTTGTTAGCGGCTCTAGAAGTCCTCATCAGAGCAGATCACCACCAGCAGATGTTTAATATTAAGCAGTTATTGAAAGCTCAAGTGGTTCATCACTTTCTACTGACTTGTCAGGTTTTGCAGGTACTTTTTATGTAACTTTACTTTTTGAAATATTTTCCACAGTTGTTTAATAATACTATGAACATCAAATTTTTGTGACACTTTCAATGGGACTTTTTTTTTCCCCATCTTCTCTTCTCTCCAGATTCTCTTCTTTCAATAAATAGTATAGGAGTTTTTCAACTGCTGCATCTTACAACTTGATCATCACACTGTCATAATTCCTAACTCAATTACAAAAGTACAATTACTAAATTTCTTAGATGTTTCTTTATGTTGGGATAGAACAATAGTTTTGTAGTGCCTTGAACAGCAAGAATAGTTAATGAATTTTAACTTGTTCCATATTCTTTAAATAAAAATTTATAAATATATATTGATTTAATAAGTATAAACTTGCTAAAGGTCTATTTTATATGCTAGAATTAGCATTTTAAACTGTATCCAAAATTTTTAAAAGTGACACTAATTTTATCAGTTACATTGTAATGTCTATGCTGTGGCCCTTTTAGTTAATTTTTTTCTCTGCCTTTATTGATATCATCTAGTATACCAACCAAGCAGATAAAAGGCATCAATACATATCTGCTTGGTGGGTGTATTAGACAATTTTCCAAGTTTTTTTTTTTAATGTCTGAGGCATCTATTAGAACTTTGTCAAGTTAGATAAGTACAGATATTCCATGAGATCAGTAATATTTTAGATTTTGAGTGCCCTTGCTTCAGTGGCACTAAGGGCTTTTCATTATAGTTGGGCTAAAATTCAAAATCTGTGATAACATCTATAAGAAGTGTTAATATGAGAAGGCTTATATGATCTAGCTACCATTCTAGCTTCATCTTATGGTACTCAGCCTCCTTGGATTTCTTTCCCTTCCTTAAACAAGTGAGACTTTTTTCTGTCTCAGAGTACATGGTATTCTTTTTGCTTTAACAATTATTGATCCCATTCTTTTCATCTGGCCAGATCCTACTTATCCTCCTTGTGGCAACTTAAGACTTACTTTCTGAGAGATACCTTCCCTGCCCTTTCCATATAAATTAGTCTTTTCCCCTTTATACACTATGTACATAGTTTGTTAGTTATTTATGGAATTATGGTTTATTTCCTTCTGTAAGTCTCCTGAAAGCAAGGATATGGTTTTTTTTTTGTTTTTTTTTTTTTTGAGACAGAGTCTCGCTCTGTCGCCCAGGCTGGAGTGCAGTGGCCGGATCTCAGCTCACTGCAAGCTCCGCCTCCCGGGTTCACGCCATTCTCCCGCTCAGCCTCCCGCGTAGCTGGGACTACGGCACCCGCCACTCCGCCCGGCTAGGTTTCTTTGTAATTTTAGTAGTAGACGGGAGTTTCAACCCGGTGTTAGCCCAGGATGGTCTCGATCTCCTGACCTCGTGATCCGCCCATCTCGGCCTCCCAAAGTGCTGGGATTACAGGCTTGAGCCACCGCGCCCGGCCGTTTTGTTTTGTTTTAAATCACACTGTAATGTCAGTACTTGACACACCTGAGCATCTGATAAGTATTTGTTAAATGAATGAATTCCAAAAACACAAAAACATTTTATTGCCTTCCTTGGCCCCTGTGGTAAATTAGACTGTTGTTGTAGGGAATAGAATATCTTGATTGATCTTTCAGGACCCTTGCTTACTGAGTGTTTTATGTGTCATTTATATATCAGTTTTCCTCAAGATTTTTTCCTTTGCGTATCCATTTTGAAATGTATTGGCCAATTTTCATTAAGTTCATATGACAATGTGATATTCAGTCTTTGCATGTCAGAAAAGTGGCACTTACAAACTTGGAGATTTCCATATGTTTTTTCACTTTTGTATTATTTACAAAAATTCTAGAAAAAAATCTAGGTACAAATTTTTTTTTCCTTACTTGTATGGTTTTTTACCCTTGTTTGTTCAAAGAGCCCACTTATCAAATTAACAGCTATTTATTAAGCATAGCTTTATGTCAGGTATTGTGGGAAGTTTATAAAGAAATGAACTTAGTCTTTGCCTTTAAGATACCTCAGAATGTTTATGCACTTCAGGAAGATTAATAAATTGGTAGTGTATTGGATGTAAGGCAGTTTCATTTGTTCGTGAGTGCAGCATAAAGAACCTGAACCCTGGTGATTAGAATGGGAGTGTTTAGGTAGGGAGCAAATATGAGAGAGATTATGAGGATAGAATTCATAGGACTTGATTCTGTTTAAATGGAGCTTCAGGAGGAGTCAAATATAACATAAAAATTTCTAGGCGGGAGACCAGAAAAACAGTAATTTTATCAGAAAAAAAAAGAAGCAAACTTGTAAGTTTTGTAGTTTTTGTATTCTACGTTTGAAATTACAGCAGGACATTCAGCAACAGTGAACTAGTAATAGTGAAGCCATCAGAATAGAGAAACACTCCAAGACAGAGAAATGTAGTGAGAGAATCAGAGGGCTGAGGTTTACACCTCAGGAGATACCCATTTTCAGGATGTGAAACAAGTAAAAGCGGCTACTGAAAGAGATATAGAAAGAGTAATTGAAAAGCTAAGAGGAAACTCAGTAAAGTGAAAACCAGAGATGGGCAGAGGGGGAAGAACATGTAGAGAAGGAGGTGATACCTTGAACCAATGATATAAAAAGTTCAGAGAAAATGTAGGCAGATAAAGGGCCATTGACTCAGAAATTCTTAATGACTTACAAGATTTCAATAGCATGGATAAAGCAAGAGCCAGATTTCAGGGACTTTGGATAGCATGTGTGGCGGATCACTGAAGGCAGTGAGAATAAATGATTATTAAAAAGTCCAGCAGCAAAAGCAAAGACAGAAACAGAATGTTCACAGAAGGTAAAGTTAAGGGATTAAAAAATAGTAAAATAGAATACCAGTGACTATTGACAGAGTCAGTGGAGAGGGCAGGATAGAAGTAACCTGGGCTGGACTTGGGAATGAATCACTGATGCTGCAACCAAGAAAGTTAAGAAGATACATGGAGTATGATTTAGAAGAAATGCAGATGATCGTAGCAGAAATAGTTCTGAATTGGAAGTCATGAGATCTATGTTCCTGTCTTAGCTTTGCCACTTGACATCTATGAGATCTTGGCAAAGGAGCTTTGTGTTTTCTTCTGTAGACTCAGTGTTCTCTTCTTATATCTGAGATTAACATCTACATTTTAAGTACTCCAATTCAGTAATACACAAGAGTAAGTGAGAAGAGTAGATATAGAAATATATATTTGGACATAGGAAGATGGAAGATGAGGAAGTTTACCTCCCATGCCCTTAATCTGAAGACCAGCTGCTACCCACTGGGGAGATGGAATTGGAGGATATAAGCAATTTATTTATATATAGCTTTATTTTTAGTAATTTCTTGGCATTTTGCCAAGTCTCATTATTCCAGACAGTAAATGGTGCAGTAGAAAGAGTTCAGAGGCCTAAGTTTGAGTTATAATTATACTACCTACATATTTTATGTGTGGTTTACACTAGTCAAATAACCACTTTGTGCCTCATATTCTAGAAATTAGGGCTAAAACTTCTCCTAGAGCTGTTGTGAAAAAGAGCTTCGTAAACTGGAGCATATTGTGTTAGTGTAATGAGTTTTGTCTATCAAAAGTTTTATGTCCTAATCCCATACTAATATTACTAATAGTAATAAATAGTAATAGTAGTAAAAGAAGAAGAAAAGGTAGTAGCAGTAGTAATAGTAGTGACTGTAGTTTATCACTAACATTTATATGGGGCTTACCTATATGCAAGGCACTATTCTAAGAGTTTATGTTATTTAGTCCTCATAACAACTCTGTAAAGTAGCACTAGTATTACTCACATAGACAAAGAAAGTGAAGAATGCAGATGTTAAATAACGTACCTAAGATCACACGGCTAGTGAGTGGAGAAACCAGAATGCAAACCTAGGCAGTCTGGCTTTTGAGTCCATGCTTGTGAGAGTAGTAGTATAAGTTTGCCTCAGTTAATTAAGATAAATGGGCTAGAATTAAGTTGCCATCTGTGTTAATGAATTTTTAATAACAAGATTGCTTGAATTAGGAAATAATTTAATGAGTTGTTATGGTAATGGTAAATACGGTCAGACTAGACTAGTAAACCAACAGAATTCTACCTTAAAAAGAATATTTTGCCTAAATGAAAAATCTTAGTTAAGTTGACAATTCTTTAAATCTAAAGAGAGTTTGATTTTTATTTTTTCAGGAACACAAAGAGGGGCAACTCACACCCATGCCCCGAGAGGTTTGTAGATCATTTGTGAAAATTATAGCAGAAGTCCTTGGATCTCCTCCAGATTTGGAATTATTGACAATTATCTTCAATTTCCTTTTAGCAGTTCACCCTCCTACTAATACTTACGTTTGTCACAATCCCACGAACTTCTACTTTTCTTTGCACATAGGTAGGTATAGTCATTTTTGTTAGATCATGTCTATTTCTACTTTTGTTTTATTCTTCCCACTTGATTCACATTTGTTTGATATTTGAATGGCCTCTGTGCTACTCTAATTACATATTGGGGTTGGGATAGGGCAGAGAGTTATAGAATGAACTAGACATGGCCTCTGCCCTCAAGGAGTCTAAATGCCAAGTAGAGAAAGGGGACATAGACTCAAATAACTACAGTAAAAAAATATATATATATATATTTGGTAAGTATCGAAGAGACACAAAAGAAGAACTAATGAGATTTCAAAGGACAGAGGGTTTCATCCGACCACTGTGGAGAGAATATTTAATGGGTTACATGGCATCTGATGTGGACACTGAAGATTTTTAGTAGAATTTGATAGGTAGATTGGAGAGTTACTGTTCCAGGTAAAGACAGTGACTTTAAAGGGAGGAAAAATGGAAAGAAAAAATAAGGACTAATGAGTTTTACCTATATATAGGGAATCTGTAAAGAAATAGTGACAAATAATGCCATAAATATAGTTTAAGACCACCATTTACTTATTTTTACCCGAAAGTCATATCAGATAGGTCCTTGAATGTAAGGCCAGAGAATTTGAACTTGTATTTTAGTTATTGGTCATTGAAAGGATTTTGTTTGTTTGTTTTGAGCAAAGGCTATGATATAAGTAAATTATTGCAGCAGGATTCAGAAATAAGGAACTAGGGGCAGTGAGCCCAATTATAGTAGTCCATGAGAGACAAGATAACAGAATCTGGGCATAGTAATAGTGGAACTGGAAAGGAGGGATAAATTGAGAAGTAGGAAGTTTAGGATGGAATGACTCTGGGGGTGTTAAGGAAAAAGGAGAATGGCTTTGATTGTATAATATATGTTGTATTTGAGGTTCCCTACAGTTATTTATAATATGATTTTCTAGTAGGCAATTGGGAATGAGGGTTACAGCATGAAGAAGGAAGGGTAGGTTATAAGGAGCGGTCCACATAGAAGTGAGGTGAAGCTCTGAGAACAGATGAGACCACTGAAGAAAAGTAGAGAGAGAGAAGGAAAGAGAAAGCTAAGGAAAGAACTGCTGGTAATATTACTAGTTGGAGGGTAAGACAAGAACGAAGAATCAGTAAAAGAGAAAGATGGAATAATCAGTTTTTTTTAAGAACCAGGGAAATGTAATGTGGTAAGAAAGAAAGCAAGAACGTACCTACAAGAAAGCTGAGTCATAAATTTACATTGTAAAACTAGTTGTACAATAGCCATTTTAAGAGATATAGTAAATGGGGCTGGGCACGGTGGCTCACGCCTGTAATCCCAGCACTTTGGGAAGCCGAGACAGGCAGATCACCTGAGATCAGGAGTTCAAGACCAGCCTGACCAACATGGCGAAACCCCATCTCTACTAAAAATACAAAAAAATTAGCCTGGCTTGGTGGCACATGCCTGTAATCCCAGCTACTTGGGAGGCTGAGGCAGGAGAATGGCTTGAACCCGGGAGACGAGGGTTGCAGTTAGCCAAGAGCGTGCCATTGCACTCCAGCCTGGGCGACAAGAGCAAACCTCTATCTCAAAAAAACAAAAAAAAAAAAGAAGAAGAAAAAAGAAAAAAAACGTAGTAAATGAATAAAATGAGCAGTAGTAAAGGTCCAAATGAAATTAGATAGCATGACTTTATGGTAGTCTCAGCACATTATAAAGATTCTGGAAGTGGGTTAGTTACAAAGATGGGTAATATATGGCCCCCTCTCTTAAGATGCTTACAGCTTAGTTAAGGGAAAGAGCATAAAGAAATGATTATATCATGCCACATGGAAAGCACAGTGATAAGGAAGTCAACTTTTTTGTTTTCTGGTAGCATAGAGCATATGAAGACTGAGGGGGATTTCCCAGAGGAGGTGTTGCCTGCCCTGAATCTTAAAGGATGAGTGGGAATCAAAGAGAAAGGCCTTCCAGGCAAAGGAAACAGCTTGACAGGGAACTAGGAGAAAGTGGTGTTGCTGAAATGTAATTTATGAAACAAGGCTGGGGAGGGCCTAGGGACAAATAGTGGTAATTCTTGTGGACAAGAAGCTTGGATTTTATCCAAGGTGATAAGGAGGCATAGAAAGCCACTGGAAGATTTTAAGCAAGAGTTGACATTCGAGAGAGAGCGAATTCTGGTAGCTGTGAGGATTTGAGAGTGACGAGATGTTCATCAAGGATATCATTTAGAAATCTGATAGTAATCCAGTTGAGAGATGATAAAGCCTGAATTATAGCACTATAGTAGGGAAAAGAAGAGTTCAAGAAACAAAAAATAAAGTCACGCTAGGCATGGTGGTTCATGCCTGTAATCCCAGCACTTTGAGAGGCCACGGTGGGCGGATCACTTGAGGCCAGGAGTTCAACTCCAGCCTGGCCAACATAGCGAAACCTCGTCTCTCCTTAAAAAAAAAAAAAAAAAAGAATAAGTTAGCTGGGCGTGGTGGCACATGCCTGTAATCCTAGCCACTCGAGAGGCTGAGGCATGAGAATTGCTTGAACCAGGGAGGTGGAGGTTGCAGTGAGCAAAGATCACGCCACCACACTCCAGCCTGGGCAACAGAGCAAGGCTGTCTCAAAAAAAGAGAAAAAGTCAGCAGAACTTGGTGACTGATTTGCCATGGATAAAGGAAAGGTAGTAGTCAAGGGTGGCTCCAGGTTCCCACATGGGAACTTCCCAAAGAACAAAACAGAAGGAGTAAATTTAGGGCAAAAAGATGATTCAGATTTAGATTTATTGCATTTGTGATTCATTTAAGAAACCAAGCAGTGGAATTTATAAGTATGAAGCTCAGAAATGATTAGTTTTTACAATTAGACACTGATGGGGATTTATAAAAATAAAAGACACAGTCCTTTCCTCAAGGAATGAACAGATGAACAGTCTCCCTTGAGAGGTGATAATAACATATAAAAAGTGAACAGGTAAATGTTAAACCATAGAAATAACTGTAAGTACAGTTGGAATTAAGAAAATAGAAGTTAATGTGGCCAGAAATAATAAACAACAGCAAAATCTGTGCTAAAAAATTGTGAAGTGTACGTATTCACATATCAAATGTGCCTTAGTATAAAGTATGCCATATATTGTTCTCTTTAAACATCTTTTTGTCAAAATTTGAATTTAATGATCTGCTTTTAAAGTTGTATTTTTGTTTTATCCTTTTTAAAAATTTTGCTGTCTCAAAAAAAATTTGGATTCTAGATGGCAAGATCTTTCAGGAGAAAGTACAGTCAATCATGTACCTGAGGCATTCCAGCAGTGGAGGAAGGTCCCTTATGAGCCCTGGATTTATGGTAATAAGCCCATCTGGTTTTACTGCTTCACCATATGAAGGTAAAAATAGCAATAATGGAAGTATAGCCTTCTCACTTTAGTTCTGAATATTCTTAGAGAATTAAATTGTACATATTTTAGAAGTGTATATAGTACAACCTCATTCAGTCTAACAAGAGACACCCAGCACAGGTCCTCAAGAGAATTGAGAAAATGGATAAGGCTCATGCTGTCTTGTTCTGGCATTCTCTGACCTCTCTCATCATAGTCATTTGTCTTTCATCAAGCTTCTGATTTATTTTACCATTTTCTTCAGAAGCTTTTAAAAAACTTTTATTCTCTTCTCTCTACCTAAAACCATGATTCTAGACAACTTCACTTGCCAGATAAATGGCCACCCAATACTCCAGCTTCACATTTTTTGACTCAGGGTACCCTTTCTCTGTTTTGTCTTACCACTCTGCATGCATCTGTCTTGGACTTTATCATCATCAAGAGTGCTTTCAAGCACCTGTGAAACTCCAGTATCCCACTCTATTCTATCTATGTGATCTATTTTTCAATCACATGCATCACTCTGAAACATTTTCAAATACTGTACGTGGCTCCATTTTTTTTTCAGGTCGTTTGAACAGAATCTTTCTGTATCATTTGCCCTCCAGCCAACCAGAGAAACGAAATCCTTTGGGGGAGTTCTGACATGCTGAAAAAAGGCAAAGGGGATGCAGTCATCCTCTGTAACTGACAACCTCCCGTCTTTGTTTTTTGTTTTTTTTTTTTGTTTTTTTTAAATCACACTCCAAAGTTCCCCTTATCTCGCTTTCCCTGTCCAGCCTAGGTCACATTAGCCAATAACTTCAGCAGTTATTCAGTTGGAAACTATCTCAGTTTCCTTGTCCCCTTGGCCTGTTGGTATTCTTGAACTGAAAAATGCTAACCTGGCCTCAGTCTAACTGCTGTCGTACTGCTGAAAGTTGTAGTAGAGCTTTAAATGCTGCCCTGTAATTTTTAGGTATGTTCAGAATCAATACCGTCTTCTATTTCCATAGTAAGTATATTCAAGTCTTTAAGCCTGCGGTACTTTTCTGTCTTCCTAATTTACTCTTAACAGAGTCTCATCGCTACTTTATAGAAAAAAAGAATAGGTGCAGGTTTTCTAGTTGCAAACTGACCATACATCTTTTCCTTACCTGACTACCGTCCTTTTCCATACTGGGACATTGCTCTTATTGTCAGTCCTAGTCTTGTCTTTAGCTTCAATCCTAATTATCAAATAGTGCGGGTGAGATAGTAATAGAGGTAGATAGAACTAGGTATGTAGGTATTAGTCTCTAGTTTTGTTTTCCTCCCAAAGTGTTTCAGTTATTCTCTAGCACTTTTTATGCCCTTTTATAATAATATTTTAAAGCTATGTTTTTATTAGTTTTTTTTTTCTTTTTTAAAAAAAAAAACTTTTTTTTTAAATAAATGAGATAGGGTTTTGTCTTTTTGCCCAGGCTGGTCTCAAACTCTTGGGCTCAAGCGATCCACCCACCTCGGCCTCACAAAGTGCTGGGATTACAGGCTCGAGCCACTGCACCTGGCCTTTTCAAATTAGTTTTATTTGGAATTTTACAGGACATGTTTGTTTTTTAAATCATCTGTGTCATTTTGAAATATTTTCAAATACAATCATACCTCCATTTTTTCCAGATCTTTTGAACAGAATCTTTTGGCAACTTTAGCTCTCTAGCCAAAATCCAGAAATAACTAGAAAAAAATTCTGAGCTATGGAGCTATTTTATTGCCACAAAGTCTATGCTCTAAAGCAGTTCACTTAATGCCTGTTTACTCTGTATTCATGGTCTCAAATTTTAACCTGCAAAAGAATCACCTGGAGAGCTTGTTGACACTGATTCCTGGGCCCCTCCCTCACAGATTCTGTATCAGTAGATCTAGGGTGGAGCCTGAGAATGTGAATTTCCAACAATCCCACAGGTGGTGTTGATGCCCATGCTACTGGTTCACAGACCACACCTTGAATGGCATGCACTTATATCCCATGCATTACAATGAGAATAATTTTTCTGGTGTCTTCCTACATAGAATATTAGAAGCAGTAAATTAGAGAGCTGTGACAAGAAAAGAAACTATTACTTCTCACTAATAGCAGCAAGAAGTGACTGCAAAAATGGAGGAGAGAGAGAACTGTCTAGGGCTGTTTAGGCAAGTAACAACAAATACTACCATTTTTTGAGCACCTATTATGTGTTGACCTCTATGCTAGGTGCATCACAAATATAATCTCAATCTTTAAAGCAACCCTGCAAAGTAGATATTCTGAACCCTCATTTTACATTTGTAGAAACTGTAGTACAATTAAGTGATTTACCTTGGACTACCTCACTATCATTTGAATCCAATTATATCTAGTTGCAAAGCCCACACTCTTTCCACTACATCCTGGTAACTGCTAGCCTGAGGTAAATTGAGTTTCACTTAATTCACTTAATTTCAGCACAGTAGAACCATTAATCCTAATGACTGAATCATTCAGTCAATACTATATTTTATTAAGACAGAAAAAGACATGTTTTGGGAATATATTAATAAAAAGTGGTTAAAATAAAAATAGCTTTGGCATTTAAGAATTTTAAGCATTAAGCCAGGTGTAGGGGTGCATGCCTATAGTCCCAGCTGCTTAGAGGCTGAGGTGGGAGGCTATCTGGAGCCCAGGAGTTAGAGGCTGCAGTAAGCTGTGATAGTGCCACTGCACTTCAGTCAGGGTAAGTTTCTTTTTTTCTTAAAAAAAGAAAAAGTAAAGGAATTTTAAGCATTAGTTACTTGTAAAATTAACCTATATGGATTTTAACAGTGCTAGATAAATGGGCTTTTGCTCTGGTTGCAATTTATAATGCAAAAGAGAGGTGGTCTCACTTAATAGGTTTTTAAGTAGTATTTTTGTATCTACTCTTACCAGGAGAGAATTCCTCTAATATTATTCCACAACAGATGGCCGCCCATATGCTGCGTTCTAGAAGCCTACCAGCATTCCCTACTTCTTCACTACTAATGCAATCACAAAAACTGACTGGAAGTTTGGGTTGTAGTATTGACAGGTTACAAAATATTGCAGATACTTATGTTGCCATCCAATCAGAGAAACAAAATTCTTTGGGGAGTTCCGACACACTGAAAAAAGGCAAAGAGGATGCATTCATCAGTAGCTGTGAGTCTGCAAAAACTGTTTGTGAAATGGAAGCTGTTCTCTCAGCCCAAGTCTCTGTCAGTGATGTCCCAAAAGGAGTGCTGGGATTTCCAGTGGTCAAAGCAGATCATAAAGAGTTGGGAGCAGAACCCAGGTCAGAAGATGACAGTCCTGGGGATGAGTCCTGCCCACGCCGACCTGATCACCTAAAGGGGTTGGCCTCCTTCCAGCGAAGCCACAGCACTGTTGCAAGCCTTGGGCTAGCCTTTCCTTCACAGAATGGATCTGCAGCTGTTGGCCGTTGGCCAAGTCTTGTTGATAGAAACACTGATGACTGGGAAAACTTTGCCTATTCTCTTGGTTATGAGCCAAATTACATCCGAACTGCAAGTGCTCACAGGTACTTACGTGTTTTTGTGCACTCCTTCCACCTTTATTTTACTATTCTTTAAAGACTCTCTACCCATCTGGAAATGTCTTCATTATGCCACTTCTTATAATATAACAAACAGAAAAGTTTATTTCTGTATATATGTAATAATAACAGAAAGATATATTTTTCCTTATTTTAATGCTAGATAATATTGAATTCCATATTTAACCAAAATCTAAACCATAAGTAGCATTTAAAATATGTATATATCGTGGTTTAATTCCTTATAGTTATTAAGGAAAAATTCTTCAGGACAGAGAAACAATAGGATTTCTCTAAAGCTTTGACTCATGAGAATGATTCTCTCCACTTGGTGTTCATGTGAAGGTGGGAGTGGTTTCTAGATTGGGCCTGTCCTGGGTAACATCTCACTTTATTTGAGACAAGTGACTGCTCCAGAAGGGAAGAGGAATGGGTGTCATAGGGTGGTCACTCCATTCCACTCAGGTAATTATAATGCAGGTCTTGGTGCCGAACATTGGCAGTTCTCTGGATGAAGTCAGAAGAGAGCTAAAATGGCCTCAGAAGAAATGCCGGTGTTTCCCAGGACAGGCTCACATCAGACTGCACAGAGTCCTCCACGTCATGACAGACATTGCCTAGACGTTGTAGTTCTTCAGCCATTTTTCTTCTGCTACTCCAGTTTGTTCTCTCTCCAAACACTTAAGGTTCCTCTCTCACCTGGACACAGATGACCTTGCTTTGGTGATGAGATATCCCACTTATCTTTTCCTCTACTTCTGCTATCGCAGACCCATGACTTTACGTGGAGCTCAGATGCAGCAGTGCTAGAGAGCATTCCTTTATGAAAAACTCTCGTTTCACCAGGAGCTTCCAAAAGTTTCACCTGGGCTAAACCCAGCAGCATTTGTTAGGATATTTAGATCGAGGTTTTATTTTCACACTTGATTCTTGAGAGGATATTCTGTAATGCTAGATTCTTCCCCTGTACCAATATTTGCCTCTCTGCTCTGTGACTGAACTGGGTTTTTCTGACATGCCTACACTCCTAATAAAACTGTTTCTTCCTTGGTGGAAAAAACATTTCCAATAGCATCTCAAGTAGCAATGTCCAGTGAAACTTTCTCCAGTGATGGACATGTTGTACTCATGCTGTCTAATACAGTCGGTGCTAGCCACATATGCCTATTGAGCACTTGAAATGTGGCTGATGCAACTGAGGGACTGAATTTTTAGTTTAACTTTAAATAAATAGCATAAGTAACAGTGACTACTGTATTAGACATCAGAGATGTAGAATCGAATAGTGTTAGTAGACTATATGGCCAAAAAAATCAATGATAAAAAGTGATGGTAAATTTGTTAATGACAGTTAAATTAGGAAACATTTCTTAAACATTATGAACATTTGTTTCACCTGTCAAAGAATGCTACTACTTGTCACAGTTCCTGAGGTAATCATCATGTACTTTTCTCATCATGTTAGTAAGACTTTTTTGGTCTCTATTTTAGTGTAACTGAAGACTGTTTGGTACCTATATGCTGTGGATTATATGAACTCCTAAGTGGGGTTCTTCTTATCCTGCCTGATGTTATGCTTGAAGATGTGATGGACAAGCTTATTCAAGCAGATACACTTTTGGTCCTCATTAACCACCCATCACCAGCTATACAACAAGGTGTTATTAAAGTAAGGGCAAATACTGGATATGTTATTTTAATTCAGAAAAATAAAGATGTATGTAATTAAAAATTTTGAGTATATACATTAAAGTAGACCTGAATCTTTCTTTTATATTTTAGAATAATGAACTAATATAGTTTGTTACTTATTACTCACGTTGTTTTTTAATTTTTTTATTTTGATAGCTTTAGGGATATGGGGGTTTTTGGTTACATGGTCATATTTTTGCATCATCCAGTTTTAAGTCCCTCTCCATATATTGGTTCATATCAGTACATTTTTTAAATCTACCAATAAATCCCCATATCTGAACACTTAGTAAATCTGTTTTGTTAAAAATTACAAGGAACACATGGTTCATTGGAAATCTCTTCTTCAGTGTACTATCAAATTTTAGACATTTACTTCAGGTCTCAGCTTAGATGACACCTTTTCAAAAGACCTTCCCTGTTTATCTTATCAAAATCACTTCCCTCTGATCTTACTGTTTATTCTATCATAGCATCCTATTTATGTCTTGTAATTATCTTTTTAATCTGTGTGCTTGTTTTTTAAATTTCTCACAAATATAAGCTTCATGAGAGTGGGCATCTTGTGTAATAGGTACTAAGTATATTATTGAATGAGTAAATGCTTGATATGAATAGTTTCCATTAGAAAACAACCCAATATTAAAATAATCTTATAAAGATTCTCATTTTCTTTAGTTTGTTTGGATGTAGGTATTGTTTAATCACTTGCAATACAACCTAGTATTGAGCTCCCATTTCATGTGTAAGTCCCTGAGCTAGTTGCAATATAGTATATAGAGGGAAATAATATAAGCTCCTACATTCAAGAATTTCACGGTCTAGAAGGGAGAGTCTCATACTTGACTAAGTAAAATGTAAGGAATTCTGTGATGAGTGCTGCAGTGGCAGTATTAATAAATACATAGTATTTACAAAGTGTTATGCTGTAAACTTAGAAAGTTTTTTTAGTAGGGGAATAAATAGATGTGTGTCTGAGGGAAAGGAGTCTATTGCTACTGTGAGAGAATCATTAAAGGCGAGAAAGAGGTGGAAGGATTAATTTGGTATCACATGTGTTGCATTTAAGATGTTAGAGAAGGGTGGAAATTCGGGCCTGTGCTCAGGATAAATAATCTGTCAAGAAGCCTAGAAGTGGAGCTCTAGGATAGACATAGATATAGATATAGATATAGATATAGATATAGATATAGATGTAGATATAGATGTAGATATAGATACAGATATACATAGATTTGCAGACAGAGCATAGTTTACGGATTTTCCCCCCTCAGCATTAGGAACAAATATTCTACTTATACTCAACTAAGGTTGCCAGCCTACTAGGTGTCCATGTTCAACTAAAAATGCCAGTTTCCCCATGAGAGAATCATTAAGATCTCCAAGATAGAGTCATCATTAGCATTCTGCAGTAGCCAGAGACAAATTCATTTTTGCTTTGCTGTGGTGATGGCATTTTTTTAAGCTTTCTATGTTCTTCTGTACATATGAACTTAAAAATTTACAAATGCAGTTGTGTTACACTGATTTGTATACCTTAATTTTAATGCATTGTCTAAATTGACTTAAAGTTTTTCTTTAGCTATTAGATGCATATTTTGCTAGAGCATCTAAGGAACAAAAGGATAAATTTCTGAAGAATCGTGGATTTTCCTTGCTAGCCAACCAGTTGTATCTTCATCGAGGAACTCAAGAATTGTTAGAATGCTTCATTGAAATGTTCTTTGGTCGACATATTGGCCTTGATGAAGAGTAAGTATGTTCTTCCCTCCACTATAATTGGGAATCTTGTCTTTTTTTTTTTTTTCTCGGCCTGTTGCCCAGGGTGGAGTGCAGTGGTGCAATCTCAGCTCACTGCAACCTCCGCCTCACGAGTTCAAGCGATTCTCCTGCGTCAGCCTCCCAAGTAGCTGGGATTACAGGCACGCACCACCACGCCCAGCTAATTGTTCGTATCTTTAGTAGAGGCAGGTTTTCACCATGTTGACCAGGCTGTTCTCAAATTCCTGACCTCATGATCTGCCTGCCTCAGCCTCCCAAAGTGCTGGGATTACAGGTGTGAGATTACAGGCGTGAGCCATTATGCCCAGCTTTTTTTTTTTTTTTTTTTGGAGACAGTGTCTCACTCTGTCCCCCAGACTGGAGTGTGGAAAGACACAGTCATGCCTCAGCTCATTGCAGCCTTGAACCCCTAGATTCAAAGGGATCCTCCTACCTCAGCCTCTCGAGTAGCTAGGATTACAGGCATGCACCACCACACTTGGCTAATTTTTTTTACTTTTAGTAGAGATGGGTCTTGCTGTGTTTCCCATGCTGGTCTCTAACTCCTGACCTCAAGCCATCCTCCTGCCTTGGCCTCCCAGAGTGCTGGGATTATAGGTGTGGGCCAACACACCCAGCAAGATCTTTTATCTTAAATGTAAAATTTAGTGAACTCACTCTTAACAAAATCTTTTAGTCACCTTTAGAAAAAAAATCTGCTAAAAGTAATTTTCCAGGTAAATCAATGTATTATTTGCCATATGATATTCTTTCTAATATAACTTCATCCTTCATAGTTCATTCACTAGTTAGAAACTAGAAACAAATAAAAGCTGCATCAGATGAAAGTGATAGCTAAGATTTGGCATATAGTATTAACATGAGGAGATTAACTGAAAAGACAGGTGAGGCTGGACACGGTGGCTCTTGCCTGTAATCCCAGCACTTTGGGAGGCAGAGGCGGGTGGATCACCTGAGGTCAGGAGTTCAAGACCAGCCTGACCAACATGATGAAATTCTGCACTAAAAATACAAAATTAGCCAGGCACGGTGGCACATTCATGTAATCCCATCTACTTGGGAGGCTGAGGCAGGAGAATCGCTTGAACCCGGGAGGCGGAGGTTACAGTGAGCCAAGATTGCACAATTGCACTTCAGCCTGGGCAACAAGAGTGAAACTCTGTCTCAAAAAAAAAAAAAAAAAAAGAAAAGAAAAAATGAAAGATAGCTGGTGTTTTCTCAGTGACAGATTACATAAAGGATCCATATAGGAACTCATTACTCTCCTCAGAGCTTTAAGGTTATCTGGGAGAGGAGTAAACCCCTCACCTAGAATTCCTGGATACACTGATTATCGAGTTTTGACCCTAGTAGAATGCTGATGGATTAGCAAATAAGTGTAAAAATAAAAGAATATTTTTCTCCCAAACCAAAAGTTTGGCAGAAATTAAATTGTAATTTCTGCTTGTGATAAAATAGAGAGAAATGTGTGTCTCCTTATTGTGATAGACAAATTCAGACCTTAAAGAATTCACTAAATTATTATGATAGTTTCAATGCTACTTTTCATTTATATACAACTTTTGACTTTCACGAAACAGTTCTGCATTACCTTATTTGATTCTCACAATAGCCTTGAGAAGAAAAGAGGACATATATCACCACATATTTTTGACAGATAAGGAAAATGAGGCACAAAATACTTAGCTAATTTCATTCCATCCCAGAGGCAAGTTGTATTGGGATAAGAACTCAAGAATCATTCCCTTTTGCTAGACTTCTTTTTACTAGTTCACTGTCTCTCAAATACTATGTAAAATAATAATAATAATTTTCCTGTGCAGTTTCCAAACTGCTTTGGAAAACTGTTTCCAAAACAGTTTCTTTGGACATAAGGGGCTCATGGATAAATTAAAATAAATCAGTTAAAACCATAAAATTGCATGCATATTTCACGTGAATGTTTGTGTATTTATCTTGGGATGGACTTCTAGCAACAACTTTTACCCTATTATTGAAGGGACTTCATAATCTTAACAACAGGTTAAGAATCCTTACTCCCTCAATTTTTTTTTATGACTTCAAAATCGAGTTAACAAAATGACCCATAGTTGCTATCATATTTACTTGTTTTGTGACTAATTGTTTCTAACATGCTCTTAACTGTATTATTTATTATAGATTTGATCTGGAAGATGTGAGAAATACGGGACTGTTTCAGAAGTGGTCTGTCATTCCTATTCTAGGACTAATCGAGACCTCTCTGTATGACAACGTACTCTTGCATAATGCTCTTTTACTTCTTCTCCAAATTTTAAACTCCTGTTCTAAGGTAGCAGATATGTTGCTGGATAATGGTCTACTCTATGTGTTATGTAATACAGTAGCAGCCCTGAATGGATTAGAAAAGAAGTAAGTTTAAAATTATTATTTAAAATTACATCTGATAAATACTTTAGAACAGGAAAACTTAAGTATTAGTGTACTTTAATACACGAGTTTACCTATGTAAGAAGCCTTCCTGTGTACCTCTGAACCTAAAATAAAAGTAAAAAATAATAATAATAACAGAAAGAAAGAAAAAGAAAAAGCAAGAAGTTGTATTTACTGAATGTCCCTGTATGCTACTTTATTAACTGGCCCGAGTTAGTTTCCACCCCTTGCTTGATTTGGAAAACCCAGATGGAGAGAAGCATTATAGGCCTAATATCATACATTGAGGTAGATTATCAAGATTAAGATTGAAGACCAAAAGTAACTAATTCATATTTATTGGGTATTTATAAGTGATTAATATAAATGCAAATCTATTACCTCTTTTAGTCCTAAAGATAACTCTAATTTATACAAGTGAGATTCAGAGAGGTTAATTTAGTCAAATTCACCTTCTCTGAAAAGCCTTTGCAGAATGTTCCTGTTCATACCCACACAGTCTTCATCCTTAGTGTGGACTAGAAACCTGTCTGTGTGTTCTTATAGTATCTTGTATTAATCTCTAGTGTTGCACTTACAACCATTTACTATTTATAGTGATCTGTTTACTTGTCCGGTTTTCTGAAAAACTATGTATTTTTGACAGGTGTCAAAGTGTATCTTATTTCTATTTCTAGCATACACACTACGTATTACTTGCCATAGAATAAGTGTGAATAAATATCAAATAACTGCATGAATGAGTGCAAGCTGGTCAAACAGGAATTTAAACCTTTTAAATTGGTTAACTGTGTCTTAAATTATTTGTTCTTTTTCTTATAAATGTTCTGTTTTCTTCTTGTGTTGTTATCTTTAGCATTCCCGTCAGTGAATATAAATTGCTTGCGTGTGATATACAGCAACTTTTCATAGCAGTTACAATTCATGCTTGCAGTTCCTCGGGCTCACAATATTTTAGGGTTATTGAAGACCTTATTGTAATGCTTGGATATCTTCAAAATAGCAAAAACAAGAGGACACAAAGTAAGATTTAATTTTTACGAATTTGGGGAGGGAGTTGTATAATAGACAAACCTGTTATTTGAGTACAATCTCTTTCTTCTGAGAAACTCTTTTACTAAAAGTTTAACATTAATTTTGTGATAATATGTATCAGTTTTTAAAAAGAAGCCTAAAAAGGCTTGAAAAAGTGGCAAAAATAGAAAAAGTGATTCTACCGTGTAGTTAGTAGTTGGCAATACATAATTGAAAGATGTCACTGATTTTTCTTACCAAGTAGAATTTAAAAGCATATGTTGCATAGTAATACCCTTTTGTTTTCTTTAATGGTAATTATTAAAGTGAATATGAAACAAAAAGTATGATAATTGCTGGTTAAACTTTTGCCTTATATAGAAGAAAACCCTCTTCTTTGAAACAATTTTTAAAATGAAATAAATTTGTGAGCTAATATTTTTCCATTGAAGGTTTTTTAGTGACCATTTGTAAATTTGCTTTAAAATTGCCTTTAACAAGAATTTTAAAATGTCTACGACTATCACCCCCATGCTGACCAAAATTTTAAAATTTATATCTAACAAAACATTATTGTCATGATACATAAAATCAGTTCAATTAAAAAATTAATAACCACATAGCTTGAAAACATTCTAGTATCTTCTGTTTTTAGATATGGCTGTTGCACTACAGCTTAGAGTTCTCCAGGCTGCTATGGAATTTATAAGGACCACCGCAAATCATGACTCTGAAAACCTCACAGATTCACTCCAGTCACCTTCTGCTCCCCATCATGCAGTAGTTCAAAAGCGGAAAAGCATTGCTGGCGAGTATTGAAATCATATTTTAATAACCATAAATTGAGGCTAGCTTGACTTTCCTATGTTCTTATGCAATTCACATTTTAAAAATATTTCTTGTTTTACATAAAATTTAAGAAAGATTTTTTCCTGGAGGAAACTATTCTACTGCTTACTTTTAGTGCTTTTCTCATCCAGTTATTTCTTGAGCACCTGCGTACCATGTGCTGAGCATTGTGCTAAAATATTGGAGATACAATGACGAAAAAAAAACAGACACAGATTCTGCCCCTGCAGAGATTGTAAAATAGTAGGAAAATGTAGAGGGTAGGAATAGAGATTATAACAGGGCAATCTACATCAGGAGTTAGGGAAGTCTCTGAGAAAGTGGGATTTCAATATAGATGTAAAGGATGAGAAAGGAGTTAGCAAGGTGGAGAGTCAGAAAAAGAGTATTACGGGCAGAATGGATGGCTTATGTGAAGCTTCCAAGGCAGGGAAAAGCTGAGCTTGTTCAGAGAAATAAAGCCATTTAGCTAGAATGTGTCACTTGATAAGACTGGGACACCAGAAGAGGCTGTACAGTATGGTATGGGCCAAAGTCATTTTTTAATCATGCAGGCCTTGTTAAGGAGCTTAGATTTTATCCTAATGGGAAGTCATCAAAGATTTTAAATAGGTGTCATACTATAAACAGCTTTCTGTTTTATAAAGATCACTGTGTCTTCTGTGTGGAAAGTGGGTTAGGGGAGAGGAAGAGAAGAGAGGTAGTGGGGAGTCCAGGTAGGAGGCTATTACAGTAGTCAGGGCAGATGATGGTGGCTTGCACATGGTTAAAATGCACATGATGTCAGGGCTTGGTATACATTAGTACATGTCATCAAATAATAAACATTAATATTGTTAGGCTTCCTTATTTTTTCTACAAAATCTGCTATGACCTTTATCTGAATACAACCCAGAAAGATAACATGAACACCACATACACAGGATATACACGCATACGTATATATACATAGTGGATAAATATGCATATGCACATGCACATACACACACCATCTCCAAACAGAGTATTTGGTAAATTGTTTGAAGTTTAATCAGTCTTACTGTCTCAAATTCACTTAAGTTCAAATCTTTCTTTCACCTGTGTTAAGCTACTTTTGTGTTCAATGCTATGCAAAAATTTTAAACCATGTGAAAAACTCACTTGTAAGGAAAAGCTTCCAAGTACACATTGTTTTGCAGTAGTATGTTTAAATGATGCTAAATCAAACTTATATAAATAAAACTTCTAAAACATCTATGTAACTAAACCTACTGCCCAGCTACATTATTCCTTATTTAATATCTGAATGCGCTCTCTTCTTGAGCTGCCCTTCCAGTTGTACATCTCTTTTGCCCTGAGTAGAAATAGATTCTTTATCAGTTCTAGCATTAATGCTCAGCTTCCTACATGCCAAAACATGATTGCTGGACACCTTTCCTTTGCAGGACTCCTTATATAGTCAGTGACTGCTTAGATGGAATTCGCCCTCTATTGATATCAGAAAGTGTACCTTTGCTACCCCTGCTGTTTCTTTCGTATTGATACTTCTCATTTTCATATCTGTTCCTCCTCTGCTTCCATCCCTAGATCTCTGGTTTTAGTTAATTATCACCTTGTGCCTGGGCTAACGCAATAGTCCTCTTGCTATTTCCCGTTTGGTCAATGATTTCTCTAGGAGTCTTTAATCTCTTTAGATACTAGCATTTTTGTCACCTTGAGCCTTAGAGCTCTACATAGCTTCAAGTTTGTTATCTTTTTTTTTTTTAGTTTGAGTCATTTTAAAACAGATAATGAACTTTTAGTCTTTTCACTAGATGGCTCTCCTTTTTTCTGACTTCTTAGCTTCTTATTATACTTGGCCTTGTGTTTTTTGCTCTAAGTAAATGTGATTGCTGTGAGCTGTAGGAGACTTACAGAATCCTACAAGTTTTTAGCTTAATAAAAGACCTTAAAAGTCATCCAGTCCAGCTTCTTCATCTTAAGACCCACTGCATCCTAGAACTAGGGACTGCTGGCACATGCACCCCTATACTCACCCCCTTATGTCCTACACCACATCTACTCATTCCAGGTCTGTCATATCTCTTAGGAACCATCTCTCTCTCTCTGAAGTCTCTCTCAAGAATCCTCCCTGTTTTAAATACTGCCCTTATTTATAAATTCTATCTTTGTGAATCTAGTTTGCAAAATACTACTTCATATGTGTTCGGTTGTTGCTTTGTAATTGTTTCTAAGTTGTTTTTTTACACATATGCTTAGGGAAGATTGTGCTTTTTGTTTCTTCACTATTACTTAAAAGTATCATTGAAAGTATATTGGCTTTGTATGCTACAGGTACAAAAACTGCAGAATACTAAGGCTCTTCTGTTTCTGAGCAGTGTGGTTACAAAAACTAATTCAAGGCCATTTGTCCATGATACTAAAGTGACATAGAGGGATTTCTATTTTTGTCATGTCTATCAATTAGGTAATGAATTGTTCCTTCAAAGACTTAAGCTGTTCTCTTTACTGATAAATGTTTAGGTGTGGTGGGGGGGATTCCTAAATAGATTCATTTAGCATTTGTTGAAAACTACTGAGATGAGTGACACCTCCAACCCCACTGCCACCCTCTCCTCCTTCAGCAGAAGTTGTGGGAATTGCCAGCAGCTGCAGCTTCCACTGTGGCCACACACCAGACCCTGATAATAGACACATTTACTCAAACCTTGAACCCCAGGATATCCATGACTTGGGACCAAAGTTTCTTCAGCAATACTCTCTTTACATCTAGACCTTAAGTTCTTGCGTTGCTAACGGAGTTAGACACTATTTTATTGTCAGATTAATCTTCTTACAACCTCACTCAGGTTTACCATTCTTCTGCTCAGCAACTCTGAGTTGCCTGCCACCCCAGTGAGCAAAGCTCTGATTCCTTAGCCTCTATATCTGTTTTTGGTCTAGATATCTGTATCTATACATACCTTTATATGTAATTTTACCTAAATGGTATCATGCTCTACCTACTGTTTATAAATTGATTTCTATTTCTAGTCATTTATTATAAATATTTTTCCATGTTAAGAAACATAAATATTCTTTTATTTTTAATGATTGCAAAATAATCTGTTATTTTGATGTGGATAATCTAACTTTTATAGATAAACAAAGGTTTTTTTGCTTGATTTTTGCTAGTATAAATAAGGTAGCAATATACACTTTTAAATGTATTTTTTTACTTGTCTGCTTATTAATATGAAAAACTTTACACATCACTCTTAATGCATGAAGGTAGAAGTAGTCAGCATCAGGATATTATTTAGAATGCTAGACATATATTTAAATTGTCATACACTCACATACACACACAGTTATATTAGTAATTCACATACAAATGAACTTTATATTTCAACCAATAATAATATTAACCATTAAAAGTATTTTATTATTTGTGAGAATTAGACAGGCATTACGTTTTACATTCATTATTTTATCAACAAAATGACTCTTTCTTTATCCGTTCATTCAACCATCAAACATCAAATATTTCTTGAGTACCAACCATGTACCAGTTACTATATTACCTGTCTTCATGGAACTTGTACTGGGGGAAATGATGAATAAGCATATAAACAAATATATTTAATACAGTGTCAGATAGTGATAAATATCCACCTGTGAAGTAAGCTCTGTTTTCTTTCTAATCTGCATCTTATGTATGAGAAAACTGAGGTTTAGAAAGAAATGTGCTTAAGGCCACACTAGCTCTGTGTGGCTTCACAGCAGGAGTGCTGAAATACCCTCCCACTTTTTCTAGTATTAATACATAGTATTAAAAAAGACCTACTTAACATTTCCTTATTCAGTGTATTGTCATACCTCTGAATTACAATCATCAGCTGCACATACAGCATGAAAGCTATCAGATGTAGACATTAGGAAGAATCTGCTTAAACTCAGTATATTGTTTGACAGTATAACTCTTGAATATATACAGGATATGAATTTTTGTATTTTTTTTTTGCCTCAAAAGTGACTGTCTACCAAAATATATTAACTGATTAAGAATACTAATTACCCAAAATAGTAAGCAATCTAAAATAGTATTAAAATATTTAAATAGCTTACAGGATAAGTCATTAAAACCTGTTATAATTTAGTCATATGTAATTTTTATAGAGGTTATTTATAGAAATTGATATATGTTTTCATAATTTAAAACAAAGGTTCAATTCCAATGAAGGGTTCTATTATTCCTCATCTACCAAGACATCATTTTGGTTCCTATGGTCAACTTCCGATGCCCTTCTCCTTCAGTTCATTAAATCAAGACTCATGCCCCCAGTTTTCTCCTGGATGCTCTACCTGTGTTGTACCTCCTGGAGCAGGTGCAGTAATGGCGCAGGAATGCCACTCCTCTGTGTTCAGTCTGAGGAAACCTTTCTCAGGAAATGCCTTGGTAGCATTGAATTCCAAATGATGCATGTGTTCTAAATCATTTTAATAACAAATCACTGGAATTATATTCACCTTTCTGATCTCTTCACTGTCATTGACTGATTTCTACTTTGTCACTAGATACAATTTTTAAAACTACTTTATGAAATTCAACAACAGTAATTATCCAGAAATAGTAATATTCTTACTAAAAAATGATGTGCATTAAAACTTGATTTTGGAATACAAAGAAGTGAAACAGTATTTGAAACTATTTTATCAAAATGTTCTAAACTAGTTAAGCCCATTTAATACTTTTTAACTTGAACTTTGCCAAACGACATCTGTTTTACTAAGCTATGTCACTAGCTTCAACATTGTTATTTAGGACTTTGAAACCAAAAGTACTGTTGCACTTCTTGAAAGAGGGAGAAACATCATTTTCTCTTAATCACTCTCTCCTTTGTATAAATTGACTTTGTAGTAAATAAGGTTGTTTTCACGGTCTGGTAATCAAAAAGTTTCAGCAAAAATAGATTCCTTGATCCTTATTAACACTGGCATTTGATGTTTTAATTTATATACTTTTGAAGGTCCTCGAAAATTTCCGCTTGCTCAAACTGAATCGCTTCTGATGAAAATGCGTTCAGTGGCAAATGATGAGCTTCATGTGATGATGCAACGGAGAATGAGCCAGGAGAACCCTAGCCAGGCGACTGAAACGGAACTTGCACAGAGACTACAGAGGCTCACCGTTTTAGCAGTCAACAGGATTATTTATCAAGGTAAGACTATAGGATTAGTTTGTTTTCTTCAGCTTTTAAAATGAAAGAGAAGTAATCTAAGAGGAAACTGGTTAGTTTTCAGATGTTTAAGCAACATTATTTTTCAGTTCTTAACATCCATATTATTAAGAGTTTCTTATTTGGAACTGGTAAGTCTTAAATAAAAGTCCACTTTCAATGTGTTCAATGCTAGCCCAGATTGACCAGTTTAAAACCGTATGGCACTTCCAGTATGATCTTTTGAGATCGTTGTAGATTCACATGCAGTTAAGAGATAATACAGAGAGAGACCCTGTATATCCTTTACCCAGTTTCCCTCAATGAATCTTGCAGAACTGCCATTCTGACAGATGTGTAGTGATATCTCATTGTGGTTTTAATTTGCATTTCCATATTGGCTAATGAATATATATGTACATACTTAAATTGTAATACTTAGAGCAGCCACTAAAAAAAGCTATTCAAAGAAATACACTCCAAAACACTATAAATAATGTTCTCACCACACACCCAAAAAAATGGTAACTATGTGAGCTGTTAGATATGTTAGCTAGCTTCATTATGGTGATTATTTGACAATGTATTCATATATCAAAACATCTTAATTATATACAATTTCTGTTTGTCAATTATATTACAATAAAGCTGAAAATTGTTTTTAAAAAAACACTATAGATAAGTCAAAATGGAATTCTAAAAAAATGTTCAGGTAACCCCAGGAAGACAGGAAAAAGAAAACAGTAATTGTTAATCACTAGAAAAACATGATAAACTCAAGGTTTTTTTTCTTTTTTTAGCTTTTTTTACTTTTCTTTCTCTCTCTTTTTTTCTTTTTTCTTGAGATGGGTTCTCACTGTCACCGAGGCTAGATTGCAGTGGTATGATCTCAGCTCACTGCAACCTCTACCTCCTGGGCTCAAGCAATCCTCCCATCTCAGCCTCCTAAGTAGCTGGGACTTCAGGTGTGTACCCCATGCCCGGCTAATTTTTGTATTTTTTTGTAGAGATGGGATTCCACCATGTCGCCCAGGCTGATCTCAAACTCCTTGACTCAGGTGATCGATCTGTCTGCCTTCACCTCCCACAGTGCTGGGATTACAGGCGTGAGCCATTGTCCCCAGCTTTTTTTTTTTTTTAAACTTTTCTAATGTACATTCTGTGCAACAGACTCCCAGACTAAACTCTTGAACCATGATTATTATATATACAGCATGTAAATGGATAGCACATGCAGAGAAACAGCTCTGTAGATCCACTCCTGTAAATATGACATGGTCTTTATGTTCGATTTGTATAATAATCTCATGGTTTGAATCATTTTGCAGTTTAACTTACCTTCATTAGCCAATAAATATTTAATTTGGAATTGTATGACGTGCATTTTGAAATTTCTGTTATTTTACATGAATTCACTTTCTACTACAGTGTATCTACTATATCTAATACACCTGATAAACTTTTAAATTGTGATAACTGAATTAGTAATTAAAAACAATATTTTTACCAGTATTATTACTATTTATAATGGCTAGATAGTAGTGATATGACTAACCTTGTATTCTTTTTTTCAATTCAAAGAGTTTAATTCAGACATTATTGACATTTTGAGAACTCCAGAAAATGTAACTCAAAGCAAGACCTCAGTTTTCCAGACTGAAATTTCTGAGGAAAATATGCATCATGAACAGTCTTCTGTTTTCAATCCATTTCAGAAAGAAATTTTTACATATCTGGTAGAAGGATTCAAAGTATCTATTGTAAGTAAATTAATTACATGTGAAACGTTCATTCACACAAAGGAAATAGAGGTTTTATGTTGACTGTATTATACGTTTTCACAATCGTATTTCTTTGTGCTCTTTCAGAGAGCTTTTTAAAACTCGGACAACTTGAATTTTTAATTAGAGAACAATATATATTGCTAAATCACCCTTTCCAAAATGACTCCACTCATGCAGCATTACTTTTTAAGCCTGTAACCCTAGAAGCTATTTTCTAGTGTTGTAGTTTAGTAAGATCAGCATCAGAAAAGAGTAGATCGTCGTCATTGATGACTACTATGAGAGTTTACATTAATTGTTTTTACAGGACTGTATTTATGGCTCCTTACTCTCAGTTTTCTGAATTATTATGAATTTTAGATCTTGGCCTAAGTGTATCTAACACCTTTAAAATTACGTAGAGAATACTGATCAGTGTCACGGTTCATTTATCATCATCTCACTTGGGTTTCTGTGGGTCACTTACAGTTGACACAATGGAACAAGTTGGTCAGTTTACTACATAGATAGCAAAAGCCAATCTAATTCTAGCAGCACTCATAAATCATGACATGCCAGTCTCTAAATCTAAACTAGATTTTGGTGTTTTAGCTCTGAACAGCAAAACCAAGTGCAGATTCGCTCACAGAGTCCTTAGGACTAGACGTAATTAGAGAGGAGCTGTTTCTAAAACTCAGAATGAATTCTGAATGTACTGCTTCCAGTTTTAAACCACGTACAAGTGATTTGATCAGCATTTGGCTAGGCTTAGTGGGACCATTGTTAAAACAATTGGTTAATTGTTAGGGAATACTCTATGGTAAACCCATAGAGTAGTTTCCCTTTACCATCAGGGGTACCTTGCAGGACCCCTGGTGAATTCCTGAAACCACAGATGGTACTGAAACCTATATATACTATGTTTTTTCACATGCATACATACCTATGATAAAGTCTAATTTGTGAATTAGGCACAGTAAGAGATTAACAATAATAATAAAGCAGAACAGTTATAACAATCTACTTTAATAAAAGTTATATAAATGTAGTCTCTTTTTACAGTGAGTAAGTATCTTATTGTACGGTACGTAACTATTTTCAGACCATGGTTGACTGTGGAAAGCAAAACCACAGGTAAGGGGTACTCCTATATGCAGTGCTTAATTTGTGACTAACACTCAATAAAGTAGCACAATTCGAGTCTTTATTATGAATCCTTTCTCTTTTTTATTGCAAAATCAGTGTAGGCTTATTTATCATTGCTCTTTGATAGTTTTTTTTTTAATTTATAATTTTTGAGCCTTTGGTAATTTTTTCATGGCTTAGGACTTTAGCTTCTTTATCCATCTCTTCTTTTAAACTGTGGTAAGGTATACCTAACATAAAATTTACCATTTTAACCATTTTTAAGGATGCAATTCAGTGGCATTAAGTATATTCATATTATTGTGCAGCAATTGCCACCATCCATCTCTAGGAACTTTTTTTTTTTTCTGAGATGGAGTCTCAGTCTGCCTCCCCAGCTGGAGTGCACTGGCCCGATCTTGGCTCACTGCAACCTCCACCTCCCAGGTTCAAGCGATTCTCCTATCTCAACCTCCCGAGTAGCTCAGATTACAGGCACCCACCACCACACCCAGCTAATTTTTGTATTTTTAGTAGAGACAGTGTTTCACCATGTTGTCCAGGCTGGTCTCGAATTCCTGACCTCAGGTGACCCACCTGCCTCGGCCTCTCAGAGTGCTGGGATTACAGGTGTGAGCCACTGCACCTGGCCAGAACTTTTTAATTATCCCAAATGAAACTCCGTACCTAATAAATAATAACTTTTACCACCCCTTCCCCCATTACCCAGTAATCACTATTCTACTTTCCTGTCTCTGTGAATTTGACTGTTCTAGATATCTCATATAAATAGAAGCATATACTATTGGTCCTTTTGTATATGCCTTATTTTATTTAGCATTCTGTCCTCAAGGGTCATCCATGTTGTAGCATGTGTCAGAATTTCCTTCCTTTTTAAGGATGACTAATATTCCATTGTATGTATATACCACATTTTGTTTATCTGTTCATCCACTGATGGACGTTCAGACTGTTTCCACCTTTTGGCTATTTTGAGTGATGCTGCTATGAACGTTGTATGCCCATCTCTTTTAAACTCGTGTGTGTATGGTTATGTATATATCTTTCTAATTTTGACTATGAAAACCAATCTGGAATAAAACATGTTCTATAATCTTCTTTAGGGCTGTGTTGAGGCTAGCATGGTATTGCTTAAGCAGTCTGATCCTAATTCATTCCTATCTTGGTTGATTTTAGGGTTCAAGTAAAGCCAGTGGTTCCAAGCAGCAATGGATGAAAATTCTGTGGTCTTGTAAGGAGACCTTCCGAACGCAGCTTGGGAGACTCCTAGTGCATATTTTGTCACCAGCCCACACTGCACAAGAGAGAAAGCAAATTTTTGAAATACTTCATGAACCAAATCATCAGGAAATACTGCGAGACTGTCTCAGCCCATCCCTACAAGTAAGTGTCTCAGCTTTGATAAGATAAGTACAACTTTTGGTGAAATATAAAGTCTGAATAAAACAAGAACTGAAATTAAATTGAATTTTCATGCCTGATTTATAATTTTCTTACCAAGCAAATTTAACCTAAGGCCTTTCCTTAGGTGCTTTTACACAGGCTCAGTTTAACCTGTGTGTTTATTTCCCAGTCTTTTTTCTAGTGCCTAAATTAAGAAGTTCTGTTTCAGAGTTTCTGTCAGATACTTTGTAATGTGTTAACATATCTTGAAGTGTTTTCTTTAAGGATTGTTTGGAGGCTTTTTAAAAAGCATTATATTACCTGTGAAACATCTATATTGAATAGCTCAAACAACAATACATACAACATATCTCAAAAATATGTGTGGTCAGTTAAAATAGAAAAAAATTATTAATCATTTGGAATAATCAAACCCAAAATACCTAAAAGAATTTCAGAGTGTATAAAGTTTACCACTTCAAGAGTGGTAGTTGGAAAGTTTAAAAGGTACATTAAACCATATTGGAGGGCTGTTTAACAGTTTCTTATAAAATTAAACATTTATTTATTTATTTATTTATTTATTTATTTATTTATTTTGAGACAGTCTCGCTCTGTCACCCAGGCTGCAGTGGCCGGATCTCAGCTCACTGCAAGCTCCGCCTCCCGGGTTTACGCCATTCTCCTGCCTCAGCCTCCCAAGTAGCTGGGACTACAGGTGCCCACCACCTTGCCCGGCTAGTTTTTTGTATTTTTTAGTAGAGATGGGATTTCACTGAGTTAGCCAGGATAGTCTCGATCTCCTGACCTCGTGATCCGCCTGTCTTGGCCTCCCAAAGTGCTGGGATTACAGGCTTAAGCCACCGCGCCCGGCCTAAACATATTTAACTTGTGACCATGTTACTCCATTTTTAGATATTTACCTAAAAGAGAAATTAAAGCATATATTCATTGAAAGACTTGTTTAAGAATATCCATGGCAGCCTTTTTTCATAATAACCAAAAACTAGAAATATTCAAATGCTCACCAACAGAAGAATGTACAAATTGTGATTTCTTTATACCTGTAGAGAGAAATCTATATAGACTATTCTACAGCACTGTATAGACTATTATACAGCTTTAAAAAGGAACGGACTACTGATACACCTACCATTATGGATGAATCTCAGGAACACTGAGCGGGGAAAGAGACAGCCAAACACAAAGGAGTACAATCTGTGATTCTGTTCATCTGAAAGAGCAAGCAAAACCAAGATATGATGATAGAATTCAGGACAGTAGTTGCCTCTGTGGAAGGGGGATGGTGAGAAAGGGAATTGACTGGAAAGAGGTTTAAGGGAACTTTCTGAGGTGATAAAAATAAGATCTTATTTTGAGTAGTGGTTAAATGGATGTATGCAATTGTCAAAACTCATAGAAACACTTAATATATGTATGCTTTATTATATGTAAGTTATACCTCAATAGAGATGAGAGAGGGTATATTAAAAAGGATAGGTATCCCCTTTTAATACATGGAAAACTCATATTAGGAGTCAAAACTATTGGAAGGGATACTTTTAGGTGATTTTTCCAGTATTAACACACTTTCAAGTACACTGAGGGCACTGTCTTCCTTTTCCCAAGACAGAAGCATATTTAGCCTGTATTTTCCTTCTGTGGAGAATTTGAAATGGTGTTTTTTTCTTTCCTTTATACTCAGCAAAGTTGCTATCCATCAAAATTCAACTGCAGTGTTAACAGTTCGCTTTTTCTCATACCATCTTCCCTTCCCCACTACTTCATGTCTGTCATGTCTTCCCAGTACTTCATGTCTGTCAACCATTATTGAATTTCAGCTTGAAAATTTTAACTGTTGTTGTCGTTGACTTTTTCTTCTCTCTCTCAATCCATTTCATCACCAAGGCCAGTTGTTTATTCACCCACGAAGACTGAGGATATTGTCTTTAACCTAATAGTTTTAGCAACCACTGATAATTGCCAAGATCCACTTTTTCATTAGAGTTACAAAATAGTGATATCTCTAAGCCTCTCATTCCATCAACATCTATAAGCTCTGACTTTTCTGTAGGGAAGAACTTTCCCTTGTCAACTATTTGGCTACGTTTTTTTTTCTTTTTTTTTTTTCACTGTACAAGATTTATTGTGGGTTTTAGTTAGTATGACACTTAGATAGTTGGTTGCATTGTTTATATGTAGATCTCTTTACATAATACGATAATGTACACTACTGAGATATATAGTTCACAAAATAAGATTGTTTGGATCAATTATGCACCATACATGCAATATTGGATTTATACACTGGATCCAGAATGTGACTGATTGGGAAAAATGTTGGACCAGGCATGTTCAGTGAAGGAGCCAGGAAGTTATTTATATAACACGCGGTAAACATCCATCTGGCTCAAGGGGCAACTGCAGCATGGGCAGCATTGGCAGTGGTGCCTCAGAGGTGGCAGAACTATTTCACACCAACCAGTTTAGGACTACACAAGATTAGTACCATCCAGCCTACAGGATGGTACTATAGGATATAGCTACCCACAGGATATAGTACCTACAGAATATAGCTGTAGGATTTTACAAACCATTCCTATTTCTAACGTTAGGAACTGACGTTTTTCCCAGTCCATCTTAACATTACTGCTTTAATCACAGATCAGATAAAAAGGACAATATGCACAACCTCCAACTAAAATCCTGTTGTAGCCTAGACAGTGAAATGGTATGCCATCAGAAGACTAAAATTGCAGCTCTTTTTGTATCCCCCAAAGTGGAACTGCACTCTTCTTCAAACGGCCCCTTAGGAGTCAGAGTCACCTTCACAGGGTCTGAGATTCTGTCCTGTCCCAAGATGCAGGGAACACTAAGGAAGACATCATCATTTATTCCATAGAGACCCTTAATCATGGTGGAAATTGGGTGCACCCACCCAAGATTCTTCATTATACTGTCTGCCAAATCTGCCACAGAGAGTCCAGTGGCCCATGATGGGTAGCCTTTGAGTTTGATCACCTTGTAAGCACTCTCAGCCACCTGCTTGTGGACCTCTTTCCACTGTTCCTTATCTATATCAGTCCCTAAATCTGGGTGCAGAGTCTTGAGGGAGACACCAGTAACATTCACTCCGCTCCATACAGGCACACTAGAATCTCCATGTTCCCCAAGGACCCTACCCATGACAGCTTAATGGGTGAACTCCCAGCCTTTCCTGCATTGGGTAACGGAATTGGGCTGAGCCGAGATTGCAGCCACTTCCAATAACACGGTTTTTGGGAAAGCCACTTATATTCCAAGCCACAATAGGTCAAAGATATCCACTGGATTTGAAACAATAAGCAACTTGCAGTTCAGGCTGTATTTTACAGCATTAGAAATGATGAATTTAAAGAAGTTCACATTACACTGGACCAAATTAAAACGGCTTTCTCCCTCTTGCTGATGTGCCTCAGCTGTGATAATGACCAACTTGGAGTTTGCAGTTACATATAGTCTTTGCCAGAGACAACTTTTGATGTTCTAAGGAAAAGGCTGCCATGTTGGAGATCCATCATCTCGTCCTTCAATTTGTCTTCCATGACATCAACAAGAGCAAGTACACCTGCCAAGTCCTTCATTAAGATACTGATGGCAAAAGCTGTGCCAACAGCATCAACCCCAACAACGGTAATCTTATTTTGGGGAATCTCTTCTTCCTTTAGAAGATTATGAATCGGCTGATCCTCTAGAGTTTCCATATTGGACTTGGAAACAAAAAGAGTCGGGAATGCATGTCCAGCGGGTGTCCGGGCACGTGGCAGTGAGATCCGGACTCTTGGGCAGCGGCTCCAGCACCTTGGCTGCCTTTAGGTACAGTTAGTCAAAGAAAGGCAGGATAAATGCCGTTTCCTTCCCTGTTTATTAATTTTTAGAATGATGAGTTCATGCCCCTAGTGGCCTCTAATTTTTGTATTTGTTTTTATTTTTGGAGTATCATTAGGAACTCAGGTATTTTAAAATAAATGTTACGTGTTTTAGTCTTTTGCAATCATTATTTGGTTTGATATTAAAATTAACACCTCTGTAGATTCAAGTTGTTGGGTCGACATGGCCTTTTTCATTTTAACAAGTTAATATGATTAAACTTCTTGTTTTCTGGCACAGAAGAATGTCCCAGGCCCACCTTATACAATTCTTTCCCCAAACCTAGAACCCAACTTCCCTCCCAAGAAGGCCTTATTTCCTTTTAAGGAGATGATGGCATTTAGAGACTACAAATCTAAGGACTACGTATGTTTATTTCTACTGGGTTGTTGTTTCTTCTCAGGCTTTTTAGTGGACAAAGCTAGGAAATATGTATTTTTTTAGAAAGACAAGTCATGAGTTTATACTGACGCTTTCACTTTTTCTTGGATTTTTAAATTTGTATTTCTTATTAATGTTGATATCTTGGTTCCTAATATTAACATAATCACTTATTTGCTTTGTCTTTCTACATATATAACATTTTCAAAATAAGATGACCAACATGATCACTAATAACAATCCTGCTGAGTGCAATTGAAGATGTCTTTGTGGTTCTTTTTGTTCCTAGCATACTGTTATGGTCATATACAGTGAAAATACTGTATTATAAAAGCACTTAAATAGTTTATTTGGTCAGGCTGCCAACTTCAACCAATTAGGTAGGTAGGTAGGTAGGCTTTTTTTTCCAGTTTGTTTTATAGTTTTTTGGGATTCCTTTGGGGTTTTGTTTGTTTGCTTAATTTTGTTTTTAATCATGAAATGTCTACATGGTTCTAAAAGCAACGCTGTGAAACAGCACATTCAGAGAGGTTCTAGCTTTTATCCCTTTCTTCTCCTCATATTCTTTCCCACTCTGTGTAGGTAACTGACTTTTTTTTCTGTTGAAGATACAGGCAAATCTATGTATACATGTATTTACACATGTAAATATTCTCTCCGCTACTTCATAACACAAAGAAAGATAGCAAAGTATACACACTCTTCTGCACCTTACTTTCTTCACTTAATATATCCTAGAGATCATTATTACATAGTAGTGTAGAGTGATCTTCTTTATGCCTTTTCACAGCTGCATACATTTAATTTGTATTTCATTTGGAATCTGCCTGGGTTTTTTAAGCCCCAGGCTTCTTTTCTGCCATCACAACTTGATTCTGATTAACACTCCAGCCTGCTGACCCTCTTCTTTTCAAGATAATCATATCTTTGTGTCTTGCAACCTCTTCACATCCTGTTTATTTTTACTGTCATGCTGTTTTATTCATGTTGTCCACCAGCACAGAACACCTTTCTCTCCTTTGTCTATCCATATCCCTATTCTAGCCTTTCATTTGGCCATGACCCAGATCACTCTATACCTTCTTCAAAACCTTTCTCCCTTTCTGTAGTCCACTCAGAACTCTTCCTTATTAGAACCTTCTTTGAAAAGAAATATTTTACATATTTTAGCACTTTATTGTTTTCTAAGGATTCATGTTTAACAGATTCAGTTTCTTAAATCAGTTTTTTAAGGGCCGAAAATAAGATTTTTTTGGTATCTGTTCCAAAAAAATGACCACTTTTATAGTCCCTGAAATGATAATAGTAAGTGATCAGAGGGTATTAAAATGAGATATTAGAAGCAACTTCAGTGTTTAAGAAAATCATGTGTTTCTTTAGATATTCACAATGAATAAAAACATTTCGGATAGTTTTTCAAGATAATTTTAGAGTGTCACTGAATGCTAAACTGAAATATTTTTAAAGTTATATCAAGAACATTACTTTTAAGACACACTTAGGAAAATCTTCCAGTCATTTACCATTTTTATTTATTTGCCAACTCTTTGGGCCTTTTACTCACAGAGCTTCTGTTCATTTTTCTCTTTTGGTCAGGTAGCAGCTGTCTCTGACTAATTTAAAATGTTGCATTAAAATGAGCTGTGCTATTTTCACTATTGCATATGTTCATCTTTTGTTTTTGGGAAATGACATGATATGATTCAGCATGATAATTTAAATATCACCCAAAATGTAATCATTTCCAGATCCATTTTCTGACATTTAATACTATTCACAGTTAAAAATGTCATAAAACTAAATACAGCGATATTCGTGTCAGTGCTTATTTTTAAAGTAAAATATATATGTTTAACTTGTTGACAAAATTATTGTCTAAATAATACATGCTGTACACATTAGAGTCAGGTGTAATATCTACAGCATGTAAGGGCCACTTAAAAAGTCACGAATCGACATTTGGTTTCAGTTTGTGCTGCAAAGGACAATTGTCATTATCTTAAGTAACACTGTAAATTTTGGTTTTAGGGCCTGTTAATAAAAGATTGGCTAAAACAACTCTTCCATGGATATACATATAGAACTGTCTGCGTAGATCTCACCAGTTTGAGAGTTTTTCACCTTTTGTCCTAGGGAGTAGTGAATGCTTACAAGCTAAAGATAGGTTTTAGTTCTAGAAATTTCACCAACTTCTCTTCTACTAAGCAGAAATCAAAGGAAGAAGAGTAAATAAGTTTTAAGGTCTAAAGGAAGCTTTCCCTTCTAGTTCAGTTTTTCTGTGAGAAAAACTAAAAATTATTTTCCTTTATCCCACTTTATTTCCTGTATTCCTTTAGCAAGTCCTTTCCAAAATTCTTTCCCCAAAAGCTAGCTGGCTAGCTTGCTTGCTTTTTAAAATATAGTTTATAAGAAAAAATTTCAAACATACAGAGAGTAGAAAGAATAGTATAATAAATACCATGGAATGATCACCTAAATTTAAGTTACTATTTTTATTATATTGACATCATTTCTACTTTTTCTGAACTATTTTAACATATATATGGAAATTATGATATTTTACCTCTAAATTCTTTTTTAAAAATATTTTCCTATGTAACCATAACATTGTTACATCTAACAAAATTAGCATTAATCCTCTGTCATCAAATATTCAGTGCATAATCAGATTTCTGTAATTATCCTCAGAATGTCTTTTGTAGGTGCTTTATTCAAATCAGATGCAACCAAATAAATCTAGCAATATAATTTAATTACTATTAAGTAATTTAAGTGTAAGAATTAAAATTCTAAATGACTAAAAAATTATTACTTTTTTTAAAGCATGGAGCCAAGTTAGTTTTGTATTTGTCAGAGTTGATACATAATCACCAAGATGAATTGACTGAAGAAGAGCTAGACACAGCAGAACTACTTATGAATGCTTTGAAGTTATGTGGTCACAAGTGCATCCCTCCCAGTGCATCAACAAAAGCAGACCTTATTAAAATGATCAAAGAGGTGAGTCAATGAAACCATAGTACTTTCTTAGGAGATTCCATCATAGATAAAGAATGATTGACATTACTTTTTTAAGAACAGAGTATCATTGATGATGAACTTGAGGTGATTATTTTATTTTATTTTTCCTATATACTGTACTGCTTTTTTCTATGAGAGAAGAAAAATAGGCTTATTTTAAGGAGCACTTTGTTCTCTGTGGTCATCAGTATCCATTATCATTAGCCTTCAGTGAAGGGAAGACTTTTAAAGTGACAAGCAAGCTGAAACATACCTTGAGTTAGAGGTTTTTAATGAAAAAGCAGAGTAAGGAGGCAAGCGACTATGTAAACTCATCAGGTTTAGCAACCCTGGTTAACCATTCTACTCTAATTTATGTGACCTAAATTGCATAGACACAGAATTATAACATTATAACATTGTTTAGATGGTTCATTTATTTTAATATTCTGGTCTCCTAGGGACAATCGTTTTTCCTTTGTTAACTGGGTTTTAAAATGAGTTTGTTTGGCTCTGTGCCAATGTTAGGTGAGAAATAATAAATTTTATATAGTATATTATCTAAATATTTTAGGAACAAAAGAAATATGAAACTGAAGAAGGAGTGAATAAAGCTACTTGGCAGAAAACGGTTAATAATAATCAACAAAGGTAAGATTTTGTATGTTCCAAAGGCGTGTCTTTTAGGAATCTATTAGATTTCACATATACTTTTAGTTTTAAAGTATCATGTTTTGATAAATACGTTCCATGTATTCTTAACTATGGACAATCTTATTATTTGTTTAGTCTCTTTCAGCGTCTGGATTCAAAATCAAAGGATATATCTAAAATAGCTGCAGATATCACCCAGGCAGTGTCTCTCTCCCAAGGAATTGAGAGAAAAAAGGTGATCCAGCACATTAGAGGAATGTATAAAGTAGATTTGAGTGCCAGCAGACACTGGCAGGAACTTATTCAGCAACTGACACATGATAGGTAAGCTGCGGGAGGACGGTTAAAATTGTCTTCCATGAAGATTTAAGATATTGATGTTAAACTGAATTTGTATTCCAGAATTCAGACTCATAAAATCATTTCATTAAACTTTTTTTGTTTAATCATTTGTGATTTTTTTCATCTTAAAGAATAATCATACGAGTTTTTTTTTAATTCTGGGGAAGAAAAGTAATGAGAGGCTCATTAGCTTGTCTAGATGGTAAAATTGGCTTAATTTAAAAATATGGTCTTTGTAAAAGAATAGAGAAATCACTGAAACAGGATGATTGAGAAAAATATATTTTTCTAACTAATTTAAAATATGTATTACAAATAACAAAAAGAGGGAAATTAGGTATTATTCTCCAAATTTGGTTAAGATAACTGATTCATGTGACTTTGGTGTACTAACATACACTAAATATTAGACACTAAAGTAAATTCCAAATGGTTAAAAGAATTACTCAAAAAGTTTATAAAGTAGAAGATAGTAGGATATTTGTCAGCTCTTTGAAGGATAGATGACTTTCTAGAAGAAACTGCAAATAAATCAATAGATTTTAACCTTAATTTTTTCCAGTGTGTTTAACAAACATAACAACAACAAAAAAGCCTGGAAATATATTTTCAGCAAATAAAGAGTTATTTTTATTGTTTGAAAAACGTATACAGATTCTAAAGTAAAATATTATGATCCCAGAAGTTTGAATGAGCAAAAGGCATGAACACATTCCTCACATAAGACAAACTGAGTTACCAAACACATGGGAAAATATTCAATATTGCTAGAGGCTAATTTGGTTTTCTAGAACCTTTAGATACCACATTTTACTTTTTATGTTAAAAAAAATTTTTGGCTGCTAATATTCACAGCAGGGTATTAGCTGTCCTTACTGAGAACTTTGGTGGCATTGTACATTTTGACAATATATATTAGTAATCCTAAAAACGTTTTACTTCTAGCTTCAGTTATCCTATTTTAGTGATTCTGTCCTAAGGAAAATATTCAAAATATGGAAGGCAGGCCAGGCACAGTGGCTCACACCTATAGCCTAGGACTTTGGGAGGCTGAGGCAGGAGGATCACTTGAACCCAGGAGTTCAAGGCCACAGTGAGCTATGAACATGCCACTGCACCTTGGCTTGGGCAACAGAGTGAGACCCTGTCAAAAAAGAAAAAGAAAAAGAAAATAAAAGTTTCCATCTCTGCATTATTTATGCTAGTGAATGAATTAGAAACAAGTTATATATTAGCAGTAATATGGTTAAATACATTACAGTGCATCTGCCTTCATATTGGGCAGCCATTCAAAATAATGAGATAAAGATAATACTGTTTCTGTAAAATAAGGCAAATTATAGAAAAATGATCATAATGATCATAACTACAAATTAAAAACAGATGCATGTTTTTTTTAAAAAAGATAACAACCACTACCAGTATTTTGGTATGTTTAGGGTATGAATAAGGGTGGTTTTTTTCTCTTATTTATTTCTAAAATTGTATTTAATATGTTTTTCCTGTCTTATTTCATCTAAGATATAAATTTATTTTAATATCTTTTTTAAAATGTGATTCATACCACAGAAAGAAACTGATTTTATTTGTTTCATTAGACAGTAGGCAAAATGAGGCCAGGTCAGGTGGTTCATGCCTATAATCCCAACACTTTGGGAAGCCCAGGTGGGTGGATCACTTGAGGCTAGGAGTTTGAGACAAGCCTGGCCAACATGATGAAACCCCATCTCTACTAAAAGAATACAAAAATTAGCTGGGCATGGTGGGAGCCTGTAATCCCAGCTACTTGGGAGGCTGAGGCGGGAGAATCACTTGAGCCTAAGAGGCAGAATTTACAGTGAGCCGAGATTGTGCCGCTGCACTCCAGCCTGGGTGACAGAGCCAGACTCCGAAAAAAAAAAAAAAAAGTAGGCAAAATGGGAAATGTTAAAAATTAATTTGGAAAAAAATTTTTATCTAACCATATTAAATGCAGCATGTTGTATTACTAAAGTGTTCATAGTAGTCATTATATATCTTTTTAAAAATTTAATAGTTGAAAGAAACTGGAAGCAGATCTTGCCTTCAGGCGAGGAACTGGGAGACTGGGATTCAGGAACAAAAAGACACTTAGATTTTATTACTTGTGCTTATATATGCATTCCCTGATCAAATGTATAAATATTTGGAGTTTTAAAATGAGCAGATCAGTTGTGACTTATTCAATCTCTGTAATGATTTTTTTATAGCTACAAGTCCTGAATGATCACTTAAAACACCCTTTAATCTTTTTACTTGCAGAGCAGTATGGTATGACCCCATCTACTATCCAACTTCATGGCAGTTGGATCCAACAGAAGGACCAAATCGAGAGAGGAGACGTTTACAGAGATGTTATTTAACTATTCCAAATAAGTATCTCCTTAGGGATAGACAAAAATCAGAAGGTAATAGTGGCTTCTTAACTCAACATATAAATATAGCAGAGAACTATGGTCATTAGATAAAGATAATGTTTACTTTTCTCCTCAACAGATGTTGTCAAACCACCACTCTCTTACCTATTTGAAGACAAAACTCATTCTTCTTTCTCTTCTACTGTCAAAGACAAAGCTGCAAGTGAATCTATAAGGTAATTTTGAATCCATAGACCTTCACTCTTTCATGAATATACAACAGTTTATTGTAGTGTTTATGTAATATTTATTTTAGATAATGCCATCATTTTTAGAAAAATCCTAAACAGGAAAGGCTCAAGGGAGGACAAGGTTATATGGCCAAAATCTAAAAGGAAATGACATTTCTGATAGCAAGGGTTCATGGGATTTCAGTCATCATGTTCTGGCCCTTGTTAGTATACATATATATATATACACATACACGCACACACACATACAGACACACACATATATACACACATATACATGTACACACACACACACACACACACACATATTTTGTAATTGACTGTTTAACATCTCTGTAAAGTAGATAGAGCTGCCAGTGGTATCATCAAGAGGTGATATAATGTAGTGATTAAAGGTTCGGATTCCAGTTCCTGCTCTTACTAGCTCTTTAATCTTAGACAAATTACTTAACCTGTCTGTCTCAGTTACCTCATCTATTAAATGAAGAAATAATAATAGGTGCCATAGCATTGTTGAGTATTAAGTATGTTATTATATATTAACTATTGATAATATTCTCATTGTGGTTGTTATACTGATTTCATAGATAAAAAACTGAGACGCAAAGAAGAAAATTGGCTAAGAACACAAAGGAACTTTCTGATTCCAAATCCTGTTTTTCCTAGAATACTAGGCTTTTTTTAAAAAATATATTTGAAGTATCAGAGGTGTGAAACAATGTTTGCTTATTTACTAGAAAATATAAAATATTGATATATCTTTTAAATAACTTAATTTATATATTCTGTCTACAGGTTATAGGGATTATTAGCCTTTTCTAGGTGTTTCAGTCATTTCTCTTCAACTAGAATGTTAAAAAAGGAGCTAATATTTTCATGTGGGTTTCAACAAGATACCTCATGCTATTGGAGCTCTATCTAGTCTGCTTTGCAGAAATCTTTTACTAGGTAAAATAAAGCATATACTCTCTGAAATTGGTCAAAGCATTTAGTCATAGTAATTTTAAATATGTTTTGACAGAATAAATCGAAGATGTATCAGTGTTGCACCATCTAGAGAGACAGCTGGTGAATTGTTACTAGGTAAGTCAAATTTTGAAGAATTTTGCACATATTCACCCTGCCTTATTTATTCTTAGATTATTTAAAGTGTTTTTTTGACACCATGCCATTAAATTGGATAAACTTTCTGTAGTATCATATAGGCGAGTTTGTCTTAACATTGTATGTGATTGCATATGATTCATGAATGTGTAGAAATGATATCTTATGTTCTGAAAAGCACATGAATAGCATTTTAATTTTTATAAAATTAAATTTCTTCATGAATATGCAATTTTATATTTAACCGTTTCTTTTATTATATGCCAATTTAGATTTTTTAAAGTGAAAAATTATTGGTATACTTACCTACTATTTTATTAGATATAACTGTCCATAAGAAATATGTCTACTTTAAGATTGTTCATAATTTATATTCTCTATTGTACTTCTGAGAGAAAGGCCAAGATTGTTAGTCCATGGATACCTATATAGTTATATTTGGTTGGAAATTTTATTCTCAAAGTATGAAGGAAAACAGTTATACCACTTGGCCTCTATTCCCTTAAAGAACCAATTTGTATGCTGTAGGCTAGGTTCTCAAAGTGTGAGAACTCTGAATTAGTAGCATCAGCATCTCATGGGAGCTTCTTAGAATTGCACATTCTCATGCCTCAGTCCAGACTTGATGCATCTGAAATTCTGAGGGTGGGACCCAGCAGTCTATGTTCTGATGAGCCCTCCAGTGATTTGATGTACCTTAAAATTTGAGAATGAATGTTGTAAGCTACAGCCTCCAAGGTCCAAGATGTGGAGCTTCAAGCCTGGTGGGACTGAGCCCCACCTTCACAAGGATGGAGGCAATACCCTTCTCTGAGCTAGCCATGCCACTAGTTCAGAGTCCACTCAGTACTCAAGGGTGATGAGCATGCAGGGGGCAGAACTTCAGAGAAGTTCCCAATATTTTAAAACGCGATGTAGGGACGTGGGTTAGCAACAGCCAGCTTACGAAACAGGAAAAAGTTGGGGGCTATGTTTAGGGCCTACTCTACCCTATTGAGTGTCTCAGTCTGCAAAATAATTAAGGATTTCCCTTTTGCTAGATAATTTGGTTTACCACTTGACTTCAATTAGTGTGTAACAAAATAAAGCAAATCAATATCCTTGTAATGTAAGAGTAATGGTAATAATAAATAGCCAACATTTATTTAACACTGAGCACATAAGCAGTTTGCATATATTCTAATTTGATTCCCATAGTAGCTCAGTGAAATAGAGCTCCCTGCAAACTTTTTTTTTTTAAATAAAGAAATTAAGACACAAAGAGGTAAAGCAACTTGCCCAGGACTTCATGGATACTATTCAAAAATATTTATTGAGTGCTGGGAACTGTGTCTAGGTAGTGAGACTCAAATTCAGACCAAAGGACTCCAGAGACCATGCATTAAACCATGAATGGTAGTGTGCACATGCATTTTAAAACCCTTATATCCAATTACTTTCTGCAGGTAAATGTGGAATGTATTTTGTGGAAGATAATGCTTCTGATACAGTTGAAAGTTCGGTGAGTAGAAGCTTAAGTCTGTATTTACATAAATCTAGACAGATTCCAAAACTGTATCAATTCAGTATAACTAGAGAGAAGGAAGAGCTATTGGAGTTAATTATTTGTCACTCTATGTATAGATTGGTCTGAGTTCCAAACATTTTTTAAAATATAATTTTAAAAAGAAGACTGTGCCATCTCCTCTGGCTCATGGCCCAAGTCTTATAGCAGTTAATGTAAGTCATATTCTGAATGCTCCTATTATATCAATTTATGTTCTTTTCTTCCTATTACTATCCTCTGTTGCAACAAATATGTACTCCTTGCCACTCCCAGTTTACTATCAAGTACCTTTGCCTTCAGAAAGAAAGGAAAAATATTAAATAATTGAATAACTTAAGTAATTCTGATATTCACATAGCTTAATGATAATTGTTATTATTCTAGACAGACTGGTATTAATCAGAAAATAAAGATTCTTATATTTTTTGTATAATAAAGCTTTTATTTGAATTATCTTTTATGCCATTAAAATGTTTTTTGAGATTCCTGTAATAGAAATAAGCTTTTTGTTTCAGAGAAGTTCTAAAGCCAGGAATTCCTAAGGATATACTAAATGAGATTATGTGTGGTTTAATTATCAATATATATTTTATTTTAAATAAATTAGGCCAGGCACGGTGGCTCACGCCTGTAATCCTAGCATTTTGGGAAGCTGAGGCAAGTGGATCACCTGAGGTCAGGAGTTTGAGACTAGCCTGGCCAACATGATGAAACCCCGTCTCTACTAAAAATACAAAAAAATTAGCCGAGTGTGGTGGCAGCACCTATAATCCTAGCTACTCAGGAGGCTGAAGCAGGAGAATTGCTTGAACCCGGGAGGCAGAGGTTGCAGTGAGCCGAGATCATGCCACTGCACTCCAGCCTGGGCAACAGAGCAAGACTCCTCTCAAAAAAAAAAAAAAAAAAGAAAGTAATGAGTGAAAACATGAGGTTTGGTTATAAAAAAATAATGTAAAAAAAATCATGAACATATTTAAAGTAGTCAGATATATGAACAGCATTCTTTTCTGACTTATATAGCAATTACCACAGGGTTTGTCCTAGATAGTAAAATATAGTTATGTTAATTTTCAAGATGTATCCTTTTATCAGCCAAGGAATGTAATAGTTGATGTATGAGACAACTTTTTTGTGTGTCCAAAAGATGACAGTTTTTCACCTTAAAAATTCTGCTCAATTTGTGTTTAACTCCATTTGACATGAGGTGACAGAAGAGTCTGAGTCCACCTGTTGAATATGTCGGTTTATTTTCAGTGCTTGAGGATACATTCACAAATACTTGGTCTGAGATGACACCATTTAATTTTAAGTTAACTTGCATGCTATAAATGTATCTTATGTTTAAATAAAGAGGAAATTTTTTTTTAAAAATCTAAAAATGCCCTTGGTTCTTAATAGACAGAAAAATCCTTCCTTCCTATGTACTTTTGTAGTGTTGGTTCTTATATAACATTTCATATCTTGCATTGTGTATGCAAATGTGTGTACAAATGTTTCATGCCCCCTTTTTGACCTATACAGATTTATTTCATGCAGAGCACTTAGCAGAGCACCTTGTGCATAGGTGGTTAATTAATATATGTTGAATGAATGTTGAAACTAAACAAAGGAGGAATTCAGTTTTAAGTATGAAAATATTACATTTTCATTAAGATGTCTTATTTTATTCATGATATATTCCCTGCTTTTACTTATAAAAATTATTTTGGACCAAGAACAATAGTAAAACACACATAGAGTAGGATAATTTGAATCTAAAAAAAATTTAAGGTTTTGGAAAGTTAAAGAGCCTGGGGTAAAAGAGTTCTTGGCAATTGAGTCCTAAATTTGCTCTGAGCTTCCTGTTAGTCAACACAGAAGAGTAAGTAAGTGAAATTTTTTAAAAAGGAAAAAAAACTGATTAAAAAAAAAGAAAACTAGGATGCAGGTTGATATGAGGAGATAAATTCTAGCTAGTTTTAAACTTTAGTAGAAACTTCTTTCATTATTTCACTATTAAAAGTATGACTTAATTGTAACTGAATACATAATTTATATATTCAGTTACAAAGACTTAGATGCACTTTTTAAAAAGTTTTTCTTGATTTTGTACTTTGGGAGGGACCTAGTGATGGCAGGATGTGTAGGCCCTGTGGTCCCTACCTCTTCATTTCAGAATGTGGGGATTTGTCTGAGTACACTAGGATTAATACTCTCAAGCAGATTCAACCTTCCAGTGATTGTTTTCTCATCTTCTTTTCTTCTGTTGACCACCTAGCAGGGGAATGTATCTATTTGGTATGTGTTGATCTGTCAGCTTATATTCGATGGGGCTTTATTTGCAGAAATGCCCCATTAGTTCTAGGAATGCTCCTCCAGAGATTCCGCTTTCCCTTTGCTGGATGACTTGGAAGCATGAGAACTGTTTCAAAGCTCGGGCGTTTTCAGGCCATCCAGACGTGGATTTACCCTAAATCTATATGAGGGCAGGCCCACAATTATGAATTCTCAGAGAAAGGCTTTTTTTCTGTTCTCTAGGTTCCAGGCCAAAAGAGACAAGCTTGCGTCCTGGTTATTCCCCTTTATTTTTATTATTTTTATTTTTATTTTTTTAAGACAGAGTCTCACTCTGTCACCCAGGTTGGAGTGCAGTGGCGTAATTTCGGCTCACCAAAACCTCCGTCTCCTTGGTTCAAGTGATTCTCCTGCCTCAGCCTCCCGAGTAGCTGGAACTACAGGTGCCTGTCACCACTCCCGACTAATTTTTGTATTTTTAGTAGAGATGGGGTTTCACCATGTTGGCCAAGCTGGTCTTGAACTCCTGACCTCAAGTGATCTGTCTGTCTGAGCCTCCCAAAGTGCTGCGATTATAGGCATGAGCCACTGCGCCCGGCCTATTCCCCTTTATTGATGCGCACATTTGTTTGTCTAATCTTTCATTAGGCATCCCTTCCTAGGTTTTAGCTTTCTGAAGCAATCTCAATTCCACACCCCGATTCTAGGGGGCCAGGGCCTCATCTTCTGTCCTCAAGTTGCTGTGAACCTACATCAGTTCGTTTCTGAAACTGGGGTATGTGCATACATGCATGTGTATGCAGACACATACAACAGAGCAACCAGAGTATCACTCCCTGCTTAGTGCTGATTTTCCGGTTTCTCTACATTTTTGACCCCTGAGGATGTCATTTTCCTTGTTTTCTTGCAAGCTCAGCTATGTATTTAAAAGGATATTTGCTTAGTAAAAGAAGCCAACCTGAAAAGGCTATATACTGTATAATTTGAACTATATGACATTATGGAAAAGGCAAAACTCTATAGAGACAGTAAATAAATTAGTGGTTGCCAGAGGTTGGGGAGAGGAAACGAGGGATGAGTAGGTGGGGTCCCAAGGAGTTTTAGGGCAATAGAGCTATTTTGTATGATATCGTGATGGTGGATACATGTCATTATACATTTGTCAAAACCCATGGAATGTACAACACAAAGAGTGAACCCTACTATAAACTGTGTACTTTATGTAAGAAAAATGGTAGCAATATTGGTTCATCAATTGTAATTTATGTCCCATACCAAATGCAAGATTTAATAATAGAGAAACTGTGAGTGCAGGGCCAAGGGAGGGGAGGATACATGGAAATTCTGTATTATCTGCTCAATTTTCTGTAAACCTAACTAGTCTGAAAAATAAAGCCTATTAATTTTTTTTAATTTCTAAATTTTATCAAGCATTTTGAGGTGTTTTGCATTGGGAGAGTTTTCAGGTAATCTTATCTGCCATCTGCCACAAAAAGATTTTCTGTTATGTTTTGATGCTTTTTAAAATCTAAAATTAAAATTATTTATATTTCTGGCAAAACAAATATTTTTGCCTATTTCTTTGTCTTAGAGCCTTCAGGGAGAGTTAGAACCAGCATCATTTTCCTGGACATATGAAGAAATTAAAGAAGTTCACAAGCGTTGGTGGCAATTGAGAGATAATGCTGTAGAAATCTTTCTAACAAATGGCAGAACACTCCTGTTGGCATTTGATAACACCAAGGTAAATTCACCCTTATTAATTGATATATATTGTTTAAGTGCTCATGCGTCAATGTAACTATGCTCATACTGATTACATGAAGGTTTACTGAAATCGAATAAAAATTGCCATATTTCTTAGTCCTGATTAAAGTGAAGCCTTTGTTATATGAGGATTGTCTTTTACCTCCAAAATGAGGTAAATTCTGATTCCCCCAAATGACTGAAAGGAGTAATTTAAACTTGCTCAGTGCTGTAGCGGAGTCCATCTTTGACAAACTCTCTTGACCTCTAATCCTGTCGGCCACCATTTCTCTGCTCTCCTTTATAGAAAACCTGTTGGGGAAAGTTGCATATGCTTGCTGCCTCCAGTTTTCTTTTGAAATGCTTCAGGCAGACTTTCTTCTCACCACTCTCGTCAGGGTCATCGGTAACCTCTCTGTTGCTAAACCCCTAATGTCATAATCTTTCTTTGTCCCCATTTTACTTGACCTATCGGCAGTGTTTGACCCAGCTGATTTTTCTCTCCTTAAATAAAACCTTCCTCCCTGGGCTTCTGGGTTACCATTTTCTTTTAGTTCTTATATCTTACCCCAGCCATTGCTTCTCAGTCTTGGTTGCAGACACCTCTTTGGTGTGTTGCAGGGCTCATTCTTCAGAGCTCTTGTCTTCTCATCCAGTCTTACAACTTTAAAATACCATCTGTATTCTAACAATTTACAAATTTATGTCAGTATCCAAACCTCTCTCCTGAATGCCACACTAATTTAACTCCCGACTGGTGTCTCCATTTAGAAGTCACTAATTTGCATCTCAAGCTTAACCTGTACAAAACTGAACTTCTAATCTTCCCCCCAAAATTTCCTTCCAGTTTTCTCTATCTCAGTAAATGACAACTCCATCTTTCCAGTGCCCGGGCCAAAACTCTTGAGATTATCCAAGACTCTTGTTCTTCTCTCATCCTCTGCATACACTCTATTAATAGGTCCTGTTGGCTCTGTCGTCAGAATACATCCAGAGTCTGACTGCTTCCACTGCTACCATCCTGGTTTAAGCCACCATCATTTCTTGCCAGAATCATTTACAATAGCCTCCTAACTGGCTTTCCTGCATCCATACTGTTTCTGAAATCCAATAAAAATTGCCATATTTCTTAGTTCTAATTAAAGTAAAGCCTTGGTTATATGATTATTTTTGACCTCCAAAATTGTGTTAAATTTCGATTCCCCAAAATGACCGAAATGAAGTAGTTTACACTTGCTCAGGGCCAGGCACAGTGGCTCATGCCTGTAATTCCGGCATTTTGTTTTGGGAGGCCGAGGCAGTCAGATCATGAGGTCAGGAGTTCAAGACCAGCCTGGGCAACATGGTGAAACCCCCATCTCTACTAAAAATACAAAAATTAGCGGGGCATGGTGGCACATGCCTGTAGTCCCAGCTACTTGGGAGGCTGGGGCAGGAGAATCACTTGAACCTGGGAGGCGGAGGTTGCAGTGAGCCAAAATCATGCCATTACACTCCAGCCTGGGCGACAGAGTGAGACTCCATCACAAAAAACAAAACAAAACAAAACAAACAAACAAACAAAAACAAGAAAAACCTTGCTCAGTGCTGTAGTGACTTTCAGCTACAATGACTTTGACAAACCCTTTCTTGACCTCCAGTCCCTTCACTACCATTTCTCTGCTCTCCTTTATAGAAAGCTCCTTAGCCCCCCTTCAGGTTGTTCTCAACACAGCAGCTAAAGTATGTTGGACCATATATTTTCTCTGCTCAGAGTCCTTCAGTCACTTTCATGTCACATTCACTTGAAGGCATCGTCCTTCCAATAACCTGATAAAGCCCTGGATAATCTCATACCTTGTTACCTCTCTGACATCACTGTCTACCATTCTCTCCCTCACTGTTTCCTCCATCCATGCCTTGAATGTCAGGCACTCCAGTGCCTTGGGGACTTTGCATTCACTGTTGCCTGGAATGTTTTTCTCCTTAGAAATCCAAATGATTTGCTTTGTCACTTTTTCAAGTTTCCTGATCAAATATCTTCCTATCAGAGAGACCCTCCTTGACTCTATAAAATAACCACCCCTCCCTCTCCACCAAGCATCCCTTACCTCCTTTACTTTGGTCTGTTTTTCTCCATAGAATGTATTAGCATCCAGCATTTTCTGCCTCTCCCCAGTAGAATGCCAAGTCTTTGCTTTGTTAAGTTCCAGTTCTTCAGAATTTTGAACACTACTGGTATGTAGGTATTCAATTCATATTTGTTGAATAAATGAATGCCTCCTTTTCCTTCCAGGGCTTGGCTTATAGTCTGTCATAAATTCCCTTCTGTGGACCTTAGCATCAACAATTGGCAACCTTCAGATTTAGGCTACAGGTTTAGGATGGTCTGTTCTCTGTGGTTTTGCCTGTTCCATAACTACCAGTACATTTCCTCATTAAGTTCACACTCTCATTATCCATATCTGTGGCTCTTCTTCCTATGTTTGAAGCATATGCCTGCTTAGAATGGGTATTTCATATCTGTTTTCAGCAAAGTTGTCTTGTCTGTTTTTTTCATTTATTAGCAATCATTATTTAATTGCTTTAAAAGAACCAATACCCTTTTTCTGTGACAAAACTATTGTGAATCTCTAAAAAAGAGTTTATGTTTTCAATCAGTAGTGAAAATCAAATATCCTATTTACATAGGCTACTTTATTTAATTCTTATGAGAGAAATATTATCACTCCCATATTATAGACATGGTAACTGTAGCACTGAAGGTTAGCAGGTAAATAGACCAGATCTGTCCAATTCAGAAGACCATGCTGTTTCTACTATACCATATTGCATTTATTTAGAATGAGACTCTTCTTTTTTCCTTATTTTTTTTTTTAGTGTCTTAAGTGACTTTTCTATACAAACTTTTTTTTAGAAGTTTTTTATTAACATATTTCTCCAGCAGCAAAGCATAGTGGTGAAGAGCCCAGCCTTTGGAGGATGACCTGGACTTGAATCTCAGTTTTCTACCCATTAATGTTACTGAGAAAAAAATAATTTCTTGAAGGACATGAGATTTGTAACATGTCTATAATGTCATGGGTTCTTTGCAGAATAGTGCCTATAAGACTAAAAATAATATCTGGGGTTTTTTTTCTACTTCCCTTTTAGGTTCGTGATGATGTATACCACAATATACTCACAAATAACCTCCCTAATCTTCTGGAATATGGTAACATCACTGCTCTGACAAATTTATGGTATACTGGACAAATTACTAATTTTGAATATTTGACTCACTTAAACAAACATGCTGGCCGATCCTTCAATGATCTCATGCAGTATCCTGTGTTCCCATTTATACTTGCTGACTATATTAGTGAGACACTTGACCTCAATGATCCGTTGATATACAGGTAAGTTAAAAGAACCTTCATCTATTCATATGTTGTATTTCTTTATTAAAGTTTTTATTAGGAAAAATTTCAAACATGCATAGAATAGAAGAATTATATAAGAACCCAAATACCTATCACCCCAGTTCAACAGTTGTGAATTATGAAGATTTTTGCCAAACTTACATTATCTTTTTTTCTTATTTAAGGCAAATCACAGACATCTTGTTATGTCACTTCTTTGTTCTGCAGTATGCATCTTTTTAAAAAATAGAACACCTTAACCACAGTGCTATTATCACATGTAAGAAAATTGACAGTAATTCCATGATATCATCTAATATCTAGTCCATTTCCAAATGTCCCCTGATTCTCTCAAAGATAGTTTTTTATAGTTGGTTTTCTTGAATCAGGTCCATTATCATGTTTGGTTGCTATATGTCTGAACATATACCTAGAATCGCTTTTTTTTTTTTTTTTTTGAGACAGTGTCTTGCTCTGTCACCAGGCTAGAGTGCAGTGGCACAATCTTGGCTCACTGCAACCTCTGCCTCCTGGGTTCAAGCGATTCTCCTGCCTCAGCCTCCCACATAGCTGGGACTACAGGCGCGTGCCACCACGCCCAACTAATTTTTGTATTTTTAGTAGAGACAGGGTTTCACCATGTTGGCCACGCTGGTCTCGAACTCCTGATCTCAGGTGATCCACCCATCTCAGCCTCCCAAAGTGCTGGGATTACAGGTGTGAGCCATCACGCCTGGCCAATTTCTGAGTCTTTTTGACAAGACCATATTAGTTTCCTTGCTTTCTGACACAACAAAACATCCAAGGCTCACCTTGTCTGTTTTCTTCTAATAAATTTAGAAGAAATGAGAGAATGGGAAATCAACATTTTGCAACCTCTAGTGAAATAAGTGATTCAAGCAATAATCATCAATGGATTAAACCATTAGGTACAAATTCAGTGGGAGCCTGAGCCCGCAGATCAAACTGAGCATCATTAGAGTGGAATATCATAGGCTTCCTGATACGATACAATATAAAGCTCACTCCTCTCAACCATGCAGAATGAGAAAAAAAAAAAAAAGGAAAAAATATATAAAGCTCACATCAGCACCTATAAAGGATTCTTGACAAATAGAGAGTTGAACCTGAACCTAAGCAAGACTTTTCCAGTCTCTAGGAAATACAGGGGTTATGGGAACAAACTAAATGATGTCACGGGAAGCAATCAGAAAATGCAGAATGTGAAGCCTCCAGCAGAATAAATGACCTGGTTTTTCCAACAAGTCAGTGTCAAGAGAAAATAAAGAGAAAAAATACACGTAAAAAATAATGGCTGGCTGGGCGCAGTGGCTCACGCCTGTCATCTCAGCACTTTGGGAGGTCGAGGCAGGTGGATCACAAGGTCAAGAGATCGAGACCATCCTACTCTACTACTAAAAATACAAAAATTAGCCAGGCATGATGGTGCATGCCTGTAGTCCTAGCTACTTGGGAGGCTGAGGCAAGAGAATGGCTTGAACCCGGGAGGCAGAGGTTGCAGTGAGGTGAGATCATGCCACTTCACTCCGGCCTGGGCGGCAGAGTGAGAGACTCTGTCTCAGAAAAAAAAAAAAAAAAAAAAAAAAGTAGGCAGCCATCTTAAGTGATTTTGCTCTATTTTTAGATGTTAATTTGTATCTATTCTATAAAACTGTTTTTACTTTTTAACAAAGTTTTTATGATTAGAAAAATCTCAAAGACAAAATTAGTGCACTTAATACCACTAATTTCAACATTCCTAGAAAATAGTAATTTATATTTAAAAAAAAAAAAAAGGATGTATCAACATGTGGTTAAGCAGACCTGGTTTGACTCACTGAAATTTAGGTAAATCTTGCTGTCGGTCTAGTTATGGTGCTGCAGGTTGAAATCCAGGTGGTCCATGCCTGTGCCAGACCAGATGGTTCCTCAGGCAAAAAAGCCTGCCCTTCTTCATCAGAGCTTTTTCTTTTGCACCTTCAAGTGCCACGCAGGGACACAGATTCTGATTCTGACACAGAATCTGACACATGATTCTGTAGCTTGTAAAAGTGAGGATTCATTCCTGGAGGGATGAGGATTCATTCTCCTGCTTCAAGGAATGGTGTCGTGTGGTTCACATTCTCTGAACACCAACACTGACACCTTTGTACGCGTGCATACATACTCTGCACTATGCACAGTGTATCACTCACCATCTACTAACTAGGTAGCAAAATATTTATTTCAGTTCTCACTCTCCAAATCTCAGCTTGGTCATTTTGAGCACGTGTTGTTTCTTCAGTTTTTACTAACTAGGCTAGTAATTACACAGCATCTACCTCTGTTCCTAAGTTCTGTCGAAACTGTCCTTCACTCTACACTGCCTAACTGGATGTAGAGTCTGGAAAATGGAACACTAACTTTCAGGGCTTGGTCTAGGAATCTGCTCCCACGAGCAGCATCAGTTACGATTCTAGGGGAAGCTGCAGAAGGGAAAGAAGGATAGTAGTAGCCCTTCTTATTTAGGCTACTTGTAAGTCAGGAATTCCTAATACTGACCTGGCTCTGTGGGGAAAAGTCTACCTTAATTTCTGAAATCATAATTTTGAATGGTGACTGTTAGTTGCAAAACAACATGTTTAAGCAGAGAAATAAAGGCGGAGCATTTTGTTGACCACTTACCAACTTTCAAGATGCAGACATCTAGGGAGCTTAATCTTGACAGTATCAAAATATTTAATTTTTAAAATTATCCTTTTCTCGTAGAAATCTCTCTAAACCTATAGCTGTTCAGTATAAAGAAAAAGAAGATCGTTATGTGGACACATACAAGGTAGCTTTTGTTTTTACTCATACTTTATTAAATGAAAAATTGTGTTTTGTTTTACAGACTTGTGTTTTACCTAATTTTAAATTTATACTACTGATTTTTTACTTTCTTGTACTAGGATTGACGGACAGCTAGAAATCATTATGTGAAATGAAATATCATCTTCTATCCTGATTTTCTGAGAACACTTCGCCCAGAAAAAGGATACATTTATTTTGGCACAAATTGAAAACCAATAACTCATTGTTTATTCAAGTATACAGTAGTGACATTCCTTATAAAAATCACAAAGATTTCCAGGGACCTGCTATTCATATCCCCTAGTGTTATTTATATAATAGTGTTAATATCTTTATAATGTACCATAACCATTAGTCATATTCAGGAAATTATTCATTGGTTTATTAAACAAAAATTTATCAGATTTTAACATTTTAAAAAGAAAATGAATTACCTTTTTCTGTGAAGTTAACATTAATGAAATTCTATTGGAAATTCAAAAAAATGCAATAGCTACACATTACATTCTTCACAGGAGTATCAAGACAGGAGCAACTGAAACACTTTTCTCATATTCATCACATTATTTTATGCCACAGTTCCTGAAACGTCCCTCTAAGCATCTTATGACTGTCACTACTTGATTCTTCAGCAGTTGAAAATGCGTCATTGCTGTGGGAATCAAGAAGTAACTCTTAATTCACTATACCTGACTTTGTTATCAGAATCAGACAGAAGCTATGGGAGACAAGAATAGTGACAGATATTAAATGTTTCGTTGAACTTCATACTTTATGATGGGAAGACAGGAGTAGTGAAAAATCATCATATTCTTTTTTTTTTTTTTTTTTAATCTGCATCAGCCTCCTGAGTAGGCTGGGATTACAGGCAGTCCACCATGATCCACCATGATCGGCTATTTTTGTATTTGTAGAGATGGGGTTCACCATGTTGGCCAGGCTGGTCTTGAACTCCTGACCTCAGGCAATCCACCCTCCCAAAGTACTGGGATAAATTCTCTTGGCAATTCATATGCAAAAAAAAAATGGCTCTCCCAATTGAATTAATAATGTCTTCCCCGAGCTTCCATTTGCCTGAATTTTTATTAAAGTATACATTTTATTCTTCATTATATATCTTGAATTATAGATAGTTGATCATCTGTCTTCCCTACCAGACAGAGATGCTTGGGGGTAGGAATTCTATTACTCATTTTTGTATCACCATAGTGTCTAGCACAATGCTTCTTTTCAGGGAAAACACAGGATAAATGTATACTTGATTAGGAATTTTGATGAAGGAGAGAGGAAATATTCCACTATACTCAGATCATATGTATAAATATAGTGATATAGAGACTGCATATGTACATATGCGTGTTAGAAATAAACTTGTCTAAACCTGTGAAATTTGACAGCTTTTTTTGTTTACTAATTGGTGTGAAATTGCTATATTTGCTTACCTAACATGACAGTCTTATTTACTCCTTGTAAGTTACAGTTGATTTAACCTTAACTTGTAGTATGGAATTATAGATGTGTGAAATTCAGATTATTTTTAATGCCATATAATTTATAAGTGGGCAATTATTATTTTCTAAGAGGTATAACCCACATAAATAGCCAACTCATTATAATCATTGACTTTACGTATAAAAATAATAAAATATTTTCTACCTATTTTAGACACTTTCAATCACCTTCACCCTGGAAATAGTAACTTTGCCTTATACTAGAAAAAAATGAGTGAAACTAACAATGATGTGCTATAATAAGAAAATATCATGAACTAAAGCAACACCCAACTTCTTAGTTTTGAGTAGATATTCTTCAATTTGTGCCAAAATATTTTTCCTGATTTTCCCTAAAAATAATTAAGTGATGAACTTTATTAAGGAATGAAAAAATAAAAAAAGTATTGCCATGGGTATTCAAATCACCCGTTTAATTTAGGAAGGCATTTTTATTCATGACCTTTGTCCAAAGCGAAAATAAAATGGCTAAATCAAAAAATTACGAACAGCATATTTCATTAGATCTTGAATTAGCAGATCCACTTAGCTACTGCATCAATTCCAGAATGTCTGATGCCAAGTATTGAATAGAACAATATCCCTCAATAAACATAACTAACA